TTATTAATTCTGCAGATATTCGCATGTATAAATAAAAAAAAATACTATAAAATTGCAGTGTCGTGACCGTGTAAGAGAATCTATCCCTCATTATTTGATATGGCTTCCGATAGATGGCGGTGTAACCAATCCGTTAACGCTATGAGTAAAATACTCAAACCGGCTACGAGGAGCAACGTCAAAGATGAAAGACGTCTGCGTACTGCGATCGTCAATTTGCCTGCCAAGCGTGATAGTTAAGGCAATATTTTTTTTTTATAGAAGAGGGGGCAAACGAGCATGCGGCTCACCTGATGGTAAGTGACTACCGCCGCCCATGAACAACCGCAACACCAGGGGAATTGCATTATGTCAACAAGTGGATTTCACGGGCTGATCAAGATAAGGAAGATTTAATATTTTGTGCTGCCTGAACTTATGTTAGGCCTTCCCTATAGATTCCATAAAAACTTACTGCTATGTTAACTACATCTTTTTACTCTAATATTTGTGGCCTACTAATAATTTGTTCCGGGTCTGGATGCTTGTCGTTATGCAATTTATGTGTTTAATTGTCTATGATACAGGAGAAAATCCTAGTGACGGTTTTGTTTTTATAAAAAAGGAACAACGTTCCAATATTATCTGTATTACATGATGATGAAACAATAATTTACTATGATATTTATATTTACGCGATTACAAATTGAATAAAGGTTCATAATTCTATTGCGTAATCGTGAAACGTTGACAAATAATAATAAGCTAAACGCGATATAATCCATAAACTTCGTTTTGTTCAACGTTTTATCAATTATTTTAATAGCGTATTCTTGAACACACTATATCATGGCTTCCCTAGTCGCGGCGCCGGCGCCGAGATTTATCCGACTAGTTCGGGAACGTTTCTCCACATATACAACCATGACGTCTCGGAATTTTAACAACCCTGTCACACTAATTCTCTTAAATTACATCCTTAATCCTTATCCGTATGAAATAGTTAAGACGAAAAACAAAACAAATTAACTTAAATATTTTGGTTTACTTTAACATAAATCGTTTTATAAAATTTTCCGTTAACACATATTTCGTGTTGAATTTTTACAAAGCAGGTAGACCTTGTACGGATTGACAATAATGAATACTTAAGTAAGCACTTTTATTACTAATGGACTTATCACATCAACAGTGTCACTACAAGACAATATCAGGTGACAAAGGAGTTAATAATCCACCACAGTAATTGGTTACTCAACTCACTGCAGCGAATTCCAGAGCACTTAGATGAAATGTCACACAGTCTAAATTATAACCTGTAACGTTTAAACCGATACATAGTATTGGATACTCTGCTTGGAGCAGAAATATTGTAACTTATGCTTGCGATTGTTGTAATTTGCTGAAACATCGTCTTCATTTTTGATTTATATTGACACGTCTTCATTTCTGATATTCATTCACCATTAGCCTAACTCAAACCAACAAATAAAGATATACGAAGCTTGGTCTGAGTAGCCTAAGCAAATAATACCAGATAAATAATACCTTCAAACAATGGCCACACATAAAACAATAATTTATCTAGGTGTTAATGTATAGTAGCCAACCACATAATCAATTGAATAATTTGAAAATATCCATAAGTTTAAATGCAGTCACATAATCAGGGCTGTATCCGCTATGCTATTTACACCCCACGTTAACCGCACTCACTGGCATTATTCACACTTAATATACGTAGTTATATAAATGGGCCATTGTTCACCACAATATATTGTTTCAAAGTGGAAAGCTCAAAAGCGTCGGACGTTAAGTGTCTGGATGAGTAATTCTATCTGCAATGGAAATTCACGATTGCTAAATGAACGCCAGGGTGCTGGTTAATCTGTAATGTTGTTGAACCCACGGTTGGAAGCAAGAAACTTTATCAAGGTTCAAGTTCAGACATTTGTGTTAATAAGTAGAGTTTTACAGTAGCAGTAAAGACAGTAGCAAAAAAAATTACAGCCAATCATAGTTCTGCTGCCCCTCTCTAGTGGTCCCAAGCGAGCCACCTGCATTCATTGACAACCAACATTGAACAAAATGTATTGCGTTAGCTTGACCAACTCAACCTTGAATAATAAACTGTTGTCATTGTAAAGCTCCTTTCTCATTACGAGTTTTAATGGCATATAAAATATGGAAAAAAGTATGTATAAGTAGTCTTTATCTCCTTATCATAAAGAGTATTTCATTATTTAAAATTTATAGGTACATATAGAATAGAGTTCATATAAAGAGAAATCTGTTATTTTACAGAGACGTATGGGTATAATATCGTAAATGAATAAGAATAGGGTAACAATAATATTTTATAAATAAACTGGGCTATGAAATAATCTCACATGCAGGATCACTAATCCGCCAAATTCGAGGGGCGTTAGCAACTGATTTATTTGCGGAGAAAACGGACACACTTTTTTTTACTGCCCGTTGGTATAATGGTCGTAAGCGCAAATGCTGGTCATATAGTTCCTGGTTCGAATCCCGAGTTAGAACAAAATCAGTTCAGTCAAGAAATTCTCAGTAGCAGCCCCAATCCAGGAGGTTAACCCCCGTTCGGAAAGCAGTAAAGCCGTTAGTCCGCCTGATCTCTCCGGGCGTGTCGAATTGTCGCTACATCGGTATATAAGATTGCTGGAATAAAGAGTGAACCTGTGCTTGCGCATACACTCATGCTCTGTTATCCTGTTTTGCGCAGACAGCTAGTCTCCGTTGAAACTGGTCGCCCGTGACTGAAATTTGATTTGGAGGACATAATTATATACAATTTTTTTTTAGGTATTTTTTATATGATAAGGCTGACAAACGAACACACAGTTCACCTGATAGACATATACATCTATCCTCAGTTAAGAATCAAAATACAGATGCGTTGCCGTGAGTACTAAGATGGAATGCCTCGTTTCCAGAGAACCAGAGGCCCTCTGGTTCTCTACACTCACCATACAAAACACGGCAGTGTCAAGCTGCCATTTTACGCTGGTATTCTGTGAGAGCGTGTTCCTTCCTTGATCGAGCCGACCCATTCGTACTACAACTATACCACTAATACAGCTGCAGCATGGCTCTATGGAATTTGTGAGTTAATTTTAAGTCGCAACATGTTATAAAGTCGTTAAAGTTTTTTTTTTCCAAAACGATTGTTACTTAATTTATTTGTTTTCTTATATTTACGCGAACACTACACATTGAATAAAACTACTTTTATGTATTTTTTCGTGTTGGTTAATTACCATGGGTACTGTAAAGCACCCGAAACGTCGGGAATCAATAAAAAAGAAGTTAATTATAACGCGAAAAAATCCGTAAAAGTAATTTTAATTAATTTATTGGTATTTATCTTGGAAAGATAAATACAGATTAAATGCCGATTTATTTCTCACAGCCTTTGTTATACTTAAACTTGTCATTACTTGATACAAGACAAACTTTACATTTAAATTGCATTCCTTGAATTTGAATTGAACTAAAGGACTGTCCAAAGGACTGTTTCTCAAGTGGTCGTCCTGCGGAGAGAAGCGCGTCGCGTGCTCTCCTGCGAGATATTTCATGCAAGCGACTAATTATTGTGAGTAATGGTCGTCTAACGGCGCACTCTGATATGTTTATGCTGGATATTTTGTTCCTGCAGCGACAGCTTAATGAGATTGCCCAATTACAACGCTTCATATTTGTTAGGGTCGCTACCGCACCAACGTATGTTGCCGGATCTCCGCTTCTTTCGTCTTTTTACAGCGGACTCTTTTACTGTTTGTATGAATCGGGCGTTACCACAGAATAGATAATAGTACAAGTAGCGTTATGTAAAGTTCTTGTTAATAGATGTTACTTTTGGAATGTTTTCGCAGAATATTTAACAATGGGATTTCTGTATAGTAGAAAGGTACTCGTAACGAGCAAAGTGGTATATAAGAAACATTTTTAGTTTAGTTTTACATAAAATCGTTTTAACATGTGTGTGGAGTTGTATTTGTTGTACTAATTTGGAAAAAAGCTCATATTATAAAGCGAAATTGTTACGATAGTGTTATTCATTTCACAGTTGGTTGCGTTAATTGCATTAACGTCAAGTAATATTTCAATTGTTTACTCGAACATCGTTTGAAATACTAAATGTTGTATTTAACTTTTTAATGATTCTAATTATAATACAAGACCATTAACAATTAAAATCTCAATTAAAATTTAGCATCTTGATTTTGGTAAATTACATTTTACTAAATATATTATTCCATATTTAAGAGATCCTTAGTATGTGAGTAATATTTTAATAAGTTAATGCAGATTTTTTATTTAGTTAAATATATTATTGTAAATTGTGTATTGCTTGTGATGGCGGCGTAAGAGAATTCATCACAACATATCGTCCCTTGGCTGTCGTAAGAGGACTTAGAGACTATGGGGAATGCCAGATAAACCTTATGGCGTACGAGAGATGGCGGTATGCCATTTTGTTTACGCCACGGCGATGGGCATCAGCGTCAAAGATGCAAGTCATCTGTTACTGCGATCGTTAATTCGCTCGCCAAGGGCAAATCCTCCCTACTTACTTCTATAGGCTGAAGAAGAAGACGAAGTTTTGTATGTGTCTAAATGGATTCATTATTATTCGTTACTAGGTGATAGCGACTCTTCTCTGCCTAAAAGTCCGTCTGGGTATTAGTAGTAGCGTCTTACCTATTAGTGCCTCCAAATAGCGGTGCGTGCACTGTTGTGTTCCGTACTGATGGGTATACAGAGCCAGTAATAATTACACACTGTGAGGCATTCCATGTTGATACTCAAAAGTGACAAAGCATCTGTAACCTTCGTTTGAAGTTGTTCGCAGGTGCAGTAGCCACTTGCCATCAGGTGGGCTATGAGTTAGTATGTCACCTCAATTTTATAAAACAAGTGACAAACGAACCTAGTCTCTACCCTCAGACATAACTCTCTACAACCTTCAAACCGGTACAAGGTGCAAACACTGCTATTTGACGGCTCCTAGGCAGAAAACACATGTATTATCATTAATTTTATTTTCTTCTCATTGCAGGGGTAAATTCGCGTCGGTGCGCAAGATCCGGCACCTGGTGTCGGGCGAGGAGTACGCGGCGAAGTTCATCCGCAAGCGGCGGCGCGCGGCAGATTCGACGCGCGAGATCCAGCACGAGGTGGCCGTGCTCGCGCTCTGCGAGGGATGCACGCGTGTCGTACGTCTGCACGAGGTCAGCAATGGACATACACCTGGATTGTCGTTTATGTACCGTTTCCAGTTAGACGATGGCTGGAAAACGTTTATTAGAACTGTGTGGTTTAGTGAGACTTGCAGAGTAACTGAATGGTACGTGACGGCTCTGAATAACTACTGACCAACGGAGATTGAATAACGACGATACCGACTTTGTATCTACGATCTGTCACAGTCTACTGATGAACATGAACCAATAAAAGGGTTCCCCTTAATCGCCAGACTTGGCAGACTGATTGTCTTTGTGACGCGTGTTTCGACCTTTATCGCTGCTCTCCATCGACGATCTGTGTGTTTTGTATCTGGCATATGGTATACCGCCATCGATCGGAGACTATTAAGTCTTTATTACCTATTCCATAGTTGTCCATTCATCTACAGGGCGAAATGAGGTGATAGATTCGCTTTCACCATCACCACATGGCATCCAATTACTTATACTTAAACTTTACAACATAATCATTTATTTAATAAGATGGCAAGTCAAAAACAAAAGGTATTGTTCCAGGTTTACGAGACGCGATCAGAAGTCGCGATAGTCCTGGAACTGTGTTCGGGTGGGGAATTGCAGCATCTGTTGGATGCGGAGGAGCGTCTGTCAGAGGGCTCTGCGAGACGGGCGCTGCGGCATGTGCTCGAGGGCCTGGCGCACCTGCACGCACGCCGCGTCGCACACCTGGACCTCAAGCCCCAAAACCTACTACTCACCGATCGCAACGAGGAACTGCTCATCTGCGACTTCGGCATCAGCCGCGCGATACAGCCCGGCGCACAGGTCCGCGAGATCCTCGGCACAAGGGATTATGTTGGTGAGTTTGGATTCATGTCGTATAATGTTCTAATTAACACCAGACACAATTTTTTTTTAATTGTTCGTTTTGGTTTGATTTCTCTTTCCTTATATAATAATCAAATATTTTAAAATTACACCTGTTTCATAATTTAATTTCACTATTTTTATGAAACTTTCTTTTTATTTCTACAGAAGAAATATTTTATTTTAAATCATTACCTACTCGTACTTGACTTGACTAGACTTGATCTGTAATTCACTGTCAACTTGTTTCTTGCAAATCATAGCGTGCATCACATTACTCATTGATGTTACCTGATAATATTATGTACGTCTATATTACGTGCTCAGTGCTGTCCGTTCCAGTCTAGATAGCATTTACATCATCGCCGTACTTGCTTTACCCATTGTAAATTAACTTTTTCCATAGAAATATTTCAATGAAAAATGCAAGCGGTTACATAATAGAATGCTAGTGCGCTATTAAATCTAAAAATGGTTTCCCTTGTTAGTCTAGAAGCATAAAACTTTTAAATTGCTTCTTATCGAATTCTTTAAATGTCTTGTTGGAACGTAATGAGCGTTATGCAATGGAATTTCTAAGTTTTGTGAGTTTAATAGAAACATTCCGGTCGGGATCATTTCATGAGAACTTTTATTTATTTTATTTGTTGAACATTCCTTATTAATTTACATTATAGTCTTAATGAGCGCCGTGTAGCGGCAGCGTAACAGAATCCACCCCGTATCATTCCGTGGGTGTTGTAAGAAGCGATATAGATAAACAGAACAGGAGATCGGCAGCAGCCCGAGCTAATAACTGTTCTAAAATCAATTTGTATATATTTAAATACATTCTTTTTTATATGAAAAAAAAAAGTTATTTTTACTACGTTTTCATACATAAAATTGCACATAAACAGACATCAGGTTAGATTAGATTCGGAATAATTGTTTGTAGATTACGACCCCGCAGCCAAATTAAATATACTCAAAACAATGTAGATCTAATTAGATCAAAGTATATAAAATAAAATATCTCATTCTACCATCTTAATTTCAAGCCCCCAACAATTTATTGTTTGATCATTCACAGCGCCAGAGATCCTGTCATACGAGCCGTTGTCTTTAGCGGCGGACATCTGGTCCGTGGGAGTGCTGGCATACGTGCTGCTCAGCGGCTACTCGCCCTTCGCCGGCGACACCAAGCAGGAGACGTACCTCAACATCGCGCAGTGCCAGCTGTCCTTCCCGCGGGAACTGTTCCGCGGCGTCTCACAACGCGCCATACAGTTCATACGGGAGACCCTTGTGGTTGATCCAAAGTGAGGGGGTTTCACGTTACGTTGCACGTTTACATAATATAAGGAATATATAATAATAGGGGTTTCTCTGGTGGATAAACTTCATATACATAGCCTTCCCTGTTTGTAAACTGAAATAGCCGTCTGGTGCCGAAGTGAAAACCATTGGATTAGACGAATCATGAAATGGAGAGTCACGTACCCCACTTCACCATGACTATATGAAGCGACAATTTCTGCTGAAAGTGGCTGGTAGCAGCTAGATTCGTAAGCCGAAGACAGGGCTAAGTGGCTAAGTTGGAAAAGTTCGTCTACAGTCGTTGATGATGATGATGATGAAGAAATATACCGAAAAATTTAACCTTTTGGTAGTAAAGTTCAATTTTTGAGCAAGTGTGATATCGCATTGATAATGCGCCAAAAAATTGAAATAGCAGAAGAAATAACAGCCCACCTGATGGTAGTGGAGAGGGGTAAAACTGAGAGGTAACAGGACGGCCCCGGGATCTCTATTCAGAACGCAACCATAAAACCATAGCTTAGCATATTTAGCACATCCCGGGGACAGTACTTATTACTCCTAGCACTTTTATAGTCATATTATAATGAGTCGAGTCAAATAGGAAGCGCATACATTATTTTTAAAAGTAAAAAAGGGTGACAATCGAGCACACAGTCCACCTGATAGTAAGTGGATGCTGTGGCCCATAGACATCTACATTTAAGCGCATATGTAATATGTTGACAACACTCCAGAGGACTAAGGAAAGAATGTCTCACAGCGTGTAATTAAACTGGCTGTCTTTATCCTTCAGATTGGACTAAAGCACTACCACTTATTAAAATAGTTTGGGCATATTTTCGAATATTTGGCAAAATTATCGATTCTACGTCTTCCTCTGTATAATAATAATTAAAAAATTCCGTAGGGGTCGTCTCACAGTGGAAGAGTGCCTGGAGCACCCCTGGTTGAAAGACGACGCGGACTTGCCGCGCGCCATCGAGGGAGTCGGCTTCGACTCCGCGCTGGCCAGCGACGACGCGGACTCCGACGATGGCGCACATAACGGAATCAACGGCGTCAACGGTGTCAACGGAGTCAACGGTGTCAATGGAGTTAACGGTGTCAACGGAGTTAACGGTGTTAATGGAGTCAATGGTATCAACGGTCACAACGGCTTGAACGGGTGCAATGGAAACAGTAGCGTGCACGACGACAAAGGTACGTAGCAAAAAGGAAAATGGGCAAAAATTACATGAGCGATTTCGTAACTTTATTTAGATGAAATGCAGTGAAAAGGGATACGAGTTGTATCCCTTTTCATTCACATCGGAATTAATTAAATGTTCTAAAATAATTCTAAGGATTCTAACATGCAAAATCCATTTAAGCAATAGTCACAGTCAATACAAATATAAAGCTACAAAGAAATCAATAGCATCATTTTTTTTTCTTTATCAAATCTTTAACACATAAATATTACAAAAGTAGATTTAACTGGGTTGGATCTTTTTTTACTTTACAACATCCATCAAAACTTTTTGATTTTAAATCTGAGTTGTATTTATACCTGAGCCACCTGCATCCATTAATCTTCCTAAAATGTTTCATTAGGTCGTTATTTATTAGTTTTAATTATTTCCTATAAAATTATCTTTTCGGCTATTTTCCCCTATTTATTTTCTATTAAAATGTGAAAAGATAAGATGAAACTACTTTAATTAAAAAAATATGAACTATTGATTTTGTATGATTTCAAGATGTTTTTGTATGATCTCAATGAATACTAGTCTCACATCTATTACTGGGTATATACGAGTATCTTACTCAAGCTGAATGAATATATTAAGTTTTTTTTGTACATACCTAGTTGCAAATCGATCTCTTGGTGAAACATCTCAGACGTGTTGACCTTCCTTTTTTTCTTTACTGCCGAGCACGTCCTAAGCTAGTAAATACTTAAAATTGTCATTTACACATTGTGCCAAAAGAATTATGACATAAGTCACGTACATATAGTCACCTGACTTATCTATGAAATCAGTCATTGCTATTTGTTTCATAGTTTTTTTTAGCGTTAACGATTGCAGAAATTAGAAAGTCTACTTGGCTAACCCAACTGGTCTGTGTCAAGTCTGGATGATATACATCATCCAGGTGGCTTAGAACTATGTTATGAGCCTTACAATAAGTTAGAAGGGTGATTGGTGTGTGTCACGACGTGGCGTGTGTTGCAGAGGAGGCGGAGGCGGGCGAGTGCGAGCGCGAGAAGGCGCAGAAGCACGCGCACGCGCGCGACACCTCGCCGCCCTTCCCCGACGCGCCCTCCACGCCCAAGGTACCGCACGCCGCACACATGACACCTCGCATACTACACCCCACACACCGCATAGCCCACACACCACGCACTACACACACTACACACCCCACACACCACGCACTATACACACTACACCCCATACAATGCACACCCCACAAACCACACACTACACACTACACACCCCTCAAACTACACGAATTTGAAAGTTGAAATGAGGAGCTAAAATTCAAAACGTGATTTGTCACTCAGATCAGATAGTTGGAAATCCAAAAAAAACTATATTAATAAACTAATTAAGACCTATTTTATCTCTTTCTGGTAATTCTTTCATTTTACAAATAAATTTTAAATATTGTATGTATAGTACACGCGCACGCGCAGTACAAATTTGATTGTTTTTTTTTAAACAATTTGGGCAAATCATGTTTTGAATAGGTATGGAGAAATGACGTTTTGCTTTATGATTCTACAGAAAAAAAGGTAAGCTGACTAGTGCTTATTCTAGGCAACAATAAATAAATTAAAATATAATTTTTCCTTATACTATTCTTAATTTTTGTTTTGTTTATTGTTTTTTTTTTTAAATTACCCCCACACTAGGATTCTCCTATCTCGTGGAGGCAGTTTACAAACACAAATTGCACAAGGACAAACATCCAAACCCAATTATTTGTAGGACATACAAATACTTGTTCCGTGCGGGATTCGAACCCGCGCCCCCCAGCGCAGCAACTCATTGCTAAGCCACTGCGTCACGGAGCCGTCATTAGTCAAATATGAATTGCAGTTTCTTCTTCCAGGCAATCACAGAAAACTTCATTAGGATTTTCCACTGTAGGTGTATCCAAAATTATATGTTTATACCATTGAAAGCATTCCTCGTTCAATAATTGCCAATCACTGAATATACAAATTCACGTTGTTCACGTCATTTTTCTTTTCTTGTGTGATCCCATGTCTTAGTGGGATTGGTTGGAGCCGATATGATGTAACGTGGTCCCATTTCACTCCTCGTTTCAACAAACTTATAAACTGTTCATTATCATCATTGAAATTGAAATACTTTGTTCCTTTTACACAAATTGTTTTTTTTTGTTCCGAACAGACTAATTGTTATTTAAAAATATTCTTTTCACTTCACTGATCTTAGGTAAATTTTTATAGAAATTGTTTAATGTTTTTGTGTCCAATAGCATCCAATCTTTACCCAGAATATAAAGATATCCAACCTGTTTATAAATTTCATAATATTCTTGCTTTGAAAGAATTCTCTGCTTGCATCTCAGTAGTTTTTCTACTCTGCCAAATATTCTATCTGTGGGCAAAAAACTGTAGCTCCTCACAGGGAAAAGCATCTGAATATCTTGAGTCGCATTGTCACTGGTCTGCATAAAATGCATAACTGTTATTAATACAATATTATTTTTATTCTGAACTACACACCCGTCACTGAACAAACGTAATATTTTTGCATCATCCATTTTCATGTCATTTAAATGATAGTATAAAGCAGAAGAAATCTCTGCACTACCCTCACCAGCTCAGGTGACTTTGGTAAAGGTTGTATCTGTTGAAGGTCAAAACAGATGGTCTTAGAATCGGGAACTTCTTGTTTCAAGTGATTATAGAAAGCATTTGTTCTCTTTTTATGAATGCGTTTTTCTATCATTAAATAACACTTACTTTGTTAATTTGAAGCACTTTTAATCTTGTTAGTAAGTAGTGTACAGTGACTGCAAACATCTGAAGCAGGAGATTTAAATCCAATGTTAAACTCTGTTACAAAAACTTTTCGGAACATTGATGACTTAACCTTTAAGTGTTCAGCGCAGCTGTCATTGTAAATCTTCTATAATTTTGAAATACTTAGTTCGCAACACAGTAGTTTTGATTTTTTCCGATTATAATGGCTTTCGTTGCCTCTGAGTCTTCCAATTAGTTGTATTGTATTATTTTTCTTTTTTCTGACCGGTTACTCACTCTGTCTCCTCCTGTATTTTCTTTTATTCCTTTTCCTGCATACACAGCATACTATACTAATGTTATTAATTCTGGTTCTTTTGAAGTGTGTTACAGTCATAAAAACTTTTACATGCAGGTACCCGTTAGTTTCCCTTAATTAAATTATACTTTCTTGAAAATGCATGAGCCGTGCCACTTTTTTACTTTTTGTTCCTTTCTGTAGGTCTCGGTCTCCTTCTTTTAACTACTGTGACTGTAAGTAAAGAAGCTGTAATAGAATCCTGTCGCAGTTTGTAGGTGTTTTAAAAAGGTTATCTCGAACAGCTTTTACATCATTAGGTGTTTGTTATTTTGCAACATTGGAATATCTTGCTATTGTGTGAACAAGGAAAATATAATGAAACACTAGGAGCAGAGTATTTTTTTTCTTGAGAGCTCGTTTTCCGCCTGTATCTCTGCGTTTTTGTGATTCGACGTTTACTACACGAACTTCTACCGTATTTTTTTCATCTTCGTCCATTTCCTGACTTTTTTCAACTACAAACCATAAAATAATTTAAAAAAGCTTCAGAGAAACAAGTTCTAACTGATACCCTCAAATTTGACAAGTGACAAGCAAAAAATGATTAATTCATAGACAAAATGGCGGCCGATGCCTTCTCATTGGGTGATTGGACGTATCATGTTTTGTTTGCCAACTGTCAGAGGACAAAACCTTTTTTGCTAAATAATCCATATTTTTTTATTTTTTCTAAAGAGAAATTTGTTTGTGCGCGGATATACAGGACATTTTTTGTTACAAGTAACCATAGAGAATACGATTAGCGTATAAATTTTCATAAATAAAGTGACAAATCACGTTTTGAATTTTGGCTCCTCAAATATTAATGGGCATGTAAATTTTATAGTTTTCTATTAGAATTAACGAACGTGGAAAGTCATTTAGGTTAATTAACCCCGTAGTTAGGTATCGCGCAAACAAATGTAACATAACAAAGAATCATTCGCAGGTATCGCGCAAATCGCGGCCGTCTCCGCCGTCGGTGCTGGCGCTGTGCAAGAAGTTCCAGCCGGACTACGAGAAGCCGGCCACGCTGTCGCACGCGCACGGTCACGCGGCGAGCGGGGCGGCGAGCGGGGCGGCGAGCGGGGCGGTGGGCGTGGCGGCGAGCGTGGCGTCGGGCGGGGCGGCAGGCGGCGAGTGCTTGTGCGCGGGCGCGGCGTGCCTGCGCGTGCGCGCGCGCCATGCGCCCGACCGCGCCGTGCTGTGCTAGCGCCGCGCGCGCGCGCCGCTGCGCACGCTCTGCTGCCTCTGATGCACCGCTGCCACGCTGCCAGCTGCCACGCTGCCACGCGACGCCTGTCTCCGCTGCCACGCGACCACACGCCGCGCCTCACTCCCGGACGTCTACACACCTGTCGACTGTGTTTCCTTGTGCGAACATATGAAGACATCAGTCGACTGTCGCTCCCATATATATGTCAGCGTCCCCATCGCTGTATACGAGGAGTACGCACTAGAATGTATCATGTGAGACAATCGCGAAATCTACATTGAGAATCAATGATGGAAAGATGTGAAAGTAATGTGAGATGTTAACAAATGGAGTGATAGTAGAAAACGATTAAAGGGTAAAACACATGTGAATATGTTTAACAGAGCATTGATGAAACTGATTCAATTGATAACTTCTATACACATTTAGGACATTGATTGAATGGAACATATTCGTCAACATTGAGAGAATCAGAATGCATTTAATGTTTATCAGCATGATAATTATGTGTGAAACTAATTCATGTTATAAATATTGACAGTGCAGAATAGCAGATACCATACACCGTTTGCCAATTGCATTCAGAAATATCAGCAAATAAATCATTTAAAGAGTACTGGCCACTGTGGGTAATATTACAACTTGTGCGGGCACTTGAAGAATTGGGCAAAGTCATCAAATGTGTTGCTGTGTATATCAATGTTATCAATAATATTCAGCTCCACAGAGTGCACAAATACTCTGTGCATTAATACTTTGAACACGCGAATAAAACTAATCGTTTTCGAAGACAGGCGATTTTACTATGTGGATAGTGTAGTAGTGTTGGTAGCAGCAGAGGTACGAGGGTTGATTTAGTGACTTTACTAGTGACTCATTTGTTCCGGTCATAGAGACCATTATTTAAAGTTTACAGTGTTGTATACTTATAAAAACTGCCTCGGGCTTGTACATTTGCACACATGGACCCGAGGATGTGTTACTTCGAGCTTACACGAACGCAGTATCCTGTTCCGCTGAGTTCTTGCGTTCACTCTGTGTATATTTTACAATGTAGGCACCCGATTACGCGAACTCTTGTTACTATGTGCCTATTATTAAATTTGAAACATATATCGTTTAATAAAATTTTATAATGTCAACGAATTTTCGAGAATTATTGTTGTACGGAAAAACAGTAATGTTATAAATCTAGTAATTTAACTATTTGTAAGGTTTTAAAGACAATAAAACATTTCAGTATAGTAAGTAAGCAGTGCAGGGTATATGGGTGGGTCGAGTTCGCGGTAATCGCGCGTCTACAAATCGGTACAAAGGCATAAATGTAAGCAAGCTAAAACACGGCTTGTAAATGTAGATTAAGCGAGGCCGAGCGCTTCGCAGTTGTAAATAAGCAGAGATCGTGTGTCGTTAATTATTAATAGTCGCGTTGCGCCCGGCCGCCATGTTAGCTAGTTGTTGATGCGGTGCCCTCACGTTCCGCCTGCGAGCTTGCGTATTGTACGAACTGTAGTGTAGTCACGTGAACCGTAGTGTAGTTGTGACTGTAGTGTAGTTACGTTAACTATAGTGTAGTCACGTACACTTCATATTAATTATATGAAGTTCGGCAGTCACGTGAAGTTCATTGCAGTCACGTACACGGAGACGCAAGTGGAATCGGCGACGAGGCGATGCGATTGCCCAAAACTGGGGACCAAAATTTGTGAACGCGCCGTACATCTATGTCGGCGTCCTGTTGTCGTGCTTCATGTACAATATAAAAATTTTATCACTATAAGTGACCGTTTCGGTTCGTTACGATAGTTAGTTAAATTTGTTAAGATAAGCGAGTGTCGCGCTCAAGTCTAGCAGAGTTGTTCTACGGAGTTAGACAAGTTGGTCTGTAATCGTTATCGCTAATAGAATACTATATTGTATTTGAATGGGAATGATATACCTCAACGTTAAGTTACGTGACTTATCGTTGACTTCATTCATCCTTGTAGTTTTCTATTAGCGCCAACGATTGGGGAAGGTCAAGTTGGTTAACCCCGCTGGACTTGTCTAGAGTTTAATGGAATTATTGAGTGCCTTCACACAGCTGTTCTGTTAGTTCCCTGACATACTTAAACGAGTATCCATGTTACTCTGTGTATAATTTTAGATTTCATTTATGGAAAAATTTCCTTTTAACACTTTCTAATCTAACTTAAACATTTATTACCTTGTGAAAGCTGTTGTGATTTATAACTCCTTTGTAAAAATAAATTATTGTGATATAAAATATTGTTTTACTTATTTCCATTACATTAGTTTTATTAAAACACCCAAATAATTTAAATCTTTATTTCTTTGTTTCTCAAAATTATTATATACATTAAATTATTTATCACTCATTTTATTTTATTTCTTTAAATCATTTCATTTTTCAATGTAATCAGTCATTTTTACAAACACTATCGACATTATGTTCAAACCAATTCAAACAATCATTTTGTCACTCAATATAAAAATTAAAAACTATCAAAGGACTGTCTAAATAAAGTGATATACAAATTGTGCAGTCTTAAATCCACATTTAATTTTTTTGTATTCAGAATTGAATCAAAATCAGGAACTTATAAAGTATAGCATATATTTCTTATCTAAAATTAAAATAATATTTAGTAATCTTGTTTTATTATAAAGGTAGTTAGGAAGAACTATAAGATATACCTATGTATGGTACAGGGATTGGTTCATAATAGACATAATGTCAATCGTGAATAATTTGTTCATTTGACCCGGGTCGCATCAAAGTATTGATCCATTTGAAAATGCGACCCAAATGACCCGGTTCGTAAGACGGATCAATACTAGAATGATTGGGCCACTAGAATTGAATGAATGACGCATGTCTAGTTCATGGAAGCAGCAAAATAACTTTCCTCCTTTCTTATAATTTTATACTTCGTTTTTTAATCCAGCAGACAATAATAACGTCAATAAGTAAAGGCAACATCGAAAAATAAAGTTACAACAGAGCAGAGCAGAGCACTGCAGAGCACTCACTTCCACGGTGTAAGTGCTCCATGCAGGAAGTGCTGTTTACACAGCGCTCGGTGCGTAAAGCATTCCTCTCCCTGGACGTCAACAAGTCGAGTGGGCCTGATGAAGTCCCACCTATTGTGCTGAAGACGTGTGCTTCAGAGTTGGCACCGGTTTTAACTCGTCTTTTCCGGTACTGCTAGTCCGTAGGCGTAGTCCGGAACGTACGTAGTCGTAGAAGACAGCTTGTGCACCCGATCCCTAAAAAAGGGGACCGCTCAGATCCTTCCAACTACAGGCCTATCGCTATCACTTCCTTGTTTTCTACAGTAATGGAAACCATTATTAACTGCCAGCTCATGCGGTACCTTGAGGATCACCAGCTGATTAGTGACCGCCAGTGCAGTTTCCGTCGAGGTTGCTCAGCTGGTTATCTTCTAGGTTACTTAACTCATGATGGGCGGAGGCAGTGGAGTCCAAGGGCCTCCCCCGTTGGCCGTTAGTTTGGGACATAGCGAAGGCCTTCGATCGGGTTTGGCACAAAGCACTTTTTTCGAAGCGTGCCTTCCTATGGGCTTCCCGAGAAATTGTGCAATTGAATCACCAGTTTTCTTGCAGATCGGAGCAAGAAGATCGTAGTAGACGGTGCATGCTCCGATTACAAGCCTATTAACGCTGGTGTTCCACAAGGCTGCGTGCTATCACCAACGCTGTTTCTACTGCATATCAATGATATGTTGCAAACCAGTAACATTAATTGCTATGCGCTAAAAAGAACCCGTTTATCGTATCTCCTCAGTTTCAAGGCACTCCCCTTTTGTCTCAGCCAGTATCGGAATCCTAAGTGTCGGCATATCGAGTGACGTGCAGTTTCGTGGTCACTTGGAAGGGAAGGCCAAATTGGCCTCTAAAAAGCTTGGCGTGCTCAGCAGAGCGGGACAGTACTTCATGCCGGCACACCGCCTGCAACTTTACAAGGCGCAGGTTCGGCCTCACATGGAACACTGTTCCCATCTCTGGGCAGGGGCTCTGATTGGGAGTGCTCTGCGGAATTGTTGGAACTAATTCCAGCCGCTCATTTTCACCATCGCATCGCGACAAAACTCGCGATACCATACATACCATCTGGATGATTGGCGGTCCACCACTGCGCGATTTAGAAGAAGTTTTCTTCCTCGCACAACTTCTTTGTGGAATCGATTATCAGCAGCCATTTTTCCGAACCGAAACGACTTAGGAACCTTAAAGATAAAAGCTTACTTCTTTTTAAAAGGCCGGCAACGCATCTGCAATTCCCATGGTGTTGCAGTTGTTCATGGGCGGCGGTAGTCACTTACCATCAGGTGAACCGCATGCTTATTTGCCCTCTCTCCTATAAATAAATAAAAAAAAGTTGCTGTATTGAGTTGCTTTGTATGGTTCCAATTAAAGTGGAAAAACTTTATTATATAATGCGTAAATTGTAGATATTAAATAGTTCATTTTTGCAATCAATATATTGCAAAATAAAACTAATATTTAAACGATTTTTACCTTGTTATGAAAATCCATCCCCACCCAAAGCTTTTCCATAAGACGATTTGCCTATATATGTTTTTCATTTGTTTAATGATGATTAAAAGTTTAGCCTAGTCTAATGGTCCATTTTGTTTAATTTTTTTCACAATATGCTGATACTTTACATAGCAAAGATTTTGGGAGATTTTAACGAGAGTTTTTTATTTTAATTCTGCGAAAAGTTGAAGACGATAGTATACACATAGCCGCCCAACACACAAAAATCTAGAGATTTATATCACCATCGATGTACTTATAACATCGTTTTCACATGCGCAAACACTTAATACACAAAGTCACACCACTTTAACTTTAAAAACCCATAATACAAGAGCAGCAATCCCGCAGCGGGCAAGTTCCCGCCAAAACGTCCCTTTACGCTCATTGCCTTTGTTTCTGTCAGTATTTCAAAACTCCATTTTTAAGACTATCTAATACAGTTAAACGACTTATTAAGGACATTATTACTGGACAAGTAGACAAGTATAACACATGAAAAGTCATATTAGTTTCCGGAGAATTAAAAAAGACGAAGTATAGGTGTTTTTATTACATTTTGCATCTGCTCCCACAAACCAACACTTTTAACTACACCTAATATAACATGCAAATGAATTAACAGTAGCCACAAACTACTGCGTACTAAAAAGAGTAAGATCTAGGATGGGAAGACTAGTTGTTTTATAATTTTACAATCTGTGATGCACGAGAATTATTTAAATATAAAGCACCATTTGGTTTTTAAGAACCTGCTTAGTATTTGTCATCTCATACATAATAATTTGTAAAAAAAAGAACGATTTGATTAAAAAAAGAACAATAATCATCATGAACCGCTAGACCTTTGGATTCAGTAAGCTGCCTTAATTTACATTTTCATATGTATATTCCAACATATAACACGCGTACAAAGTAACCATGAACACCTCTCTGGCAGTTACGTTTGTTAACCGAGAGATGTCATTAATCAAGGAACAGATCCCATATCTATTTATAACAGTTCAAAGAAAGTCTTGGTTCACTAATTTTTCTTTAATTTTTATGACACATTACAGATTTTCAATGAATTCATATAAAAACTAATGTCTTAGTACAATTCGGTATGTAAACCGTTTTCAAGGTGTCGTTTTTATATTTGCTTTATACATAAGGTTAACAACATAAAACTCCATTTTAAATTATTTCTGTTTTCTATGCAATAGTAAATTTTTGATAGCTTTTTAATTTTTTACGAATGATGACGTCATAAAGTAGACTGAAGAGTTCACGAACTTTCCCAAGCATAAAAAGTACTAAACTACAGATATTTGATATTTTACATAGATGCCATGTTATTGTTTACATTAACCCAATACAAACATTGTTTTTCGTGTATTTTATTATCATTTGATGGTGAATTTGATCAAACAGCCTAGTAGTTGGAAAACGGTTGATTTAAAATAATCGCAAAAAAAAAATCTTTGTACACCGTATTGTATATTACATTAACTGTTTGTTAATTAAAATAAGTCAAAACCAGGAAAACAGTCCCTCGTAGCAAACCAATGATCACAGCATGGGTTATTGTGAATCAATCAAATTAGAAATCAAGCAAAATAAGAAATTAAAAAAATATATTCATATTATTTGTATATATATAAAAAACACATGTGTGCAGTTTACACGCAGTAGAAGTGAAACCTTCAAAAAAAATAAACTTCGAGAGATGAGACGAATGCAGAATATCAGGAGTAGCATAATTGTGGGGTTTACGTAATTAGAATATAAATAAATTTATAATAAACACTATATACTGTATTCTATCTCATCCTCTCGCAGGCTAAATCCTATAGATGTATACGTTTATCTCTTTTTAGTGTCGTTTTTTCGTTTCATACAGTTTCAAATCACGATTCTAAAGAAGTTTCACTTCAAAAGAGAACTTGACTTTTTACTTCTCAATGAGTGTTAATAATCTTCCGCTCACCAGATGTCGCTAGGGTACTGAGGTGAAGTTTGCTTGTTACATAATGTCATTTAATTGAGTTTTAAATAAAAGTTTATCAGTTGCTTTTGTGTTAAATTAATACACAAAACAATTCCTCAATGGTTTGCTCTTTATTTTTAACTCTTTTTTTTAATTTTTCTACTTTTATGGATATCTGTAGTCTGCTTTATTTACACAAAGATTTAATGTATAGAAATAAACATTAACCTTTACATTTTTGAACAAAAACTTCCACGCTATGAAATCTGTCAAATATTACACCTCATTTTTAAGTGGCGCCGCCCTGGTGGCAGAAAAAGTCGATGCTCTCATTAAAGCAACATTGTTTTTAAATCAATAGATATTGGCATCACTTCATTTAATCTATTTTATAACGTCATTTGGAGGTGAAATGAAAATCAATTTCCTTCACGCATTTTTATAAAATGCCATCCCTTAATTTTAAGACCTCTAAAAAGTAAAATAGGGTTTATAAATGGTTAATATTGAAACAGTTTCAAAATCAGCATGGCTGGACAATTTCATTTACATACCGAATTGGCCCAACAAGTTCCTTTATTCACTTTTCATACTCTCACAACTGAATACCTCGCTATTTGTTTGATTGGCAACAGTCCGTAATGAATATAAATTGGCCTAACTGCATTTTACAAAATGCTTTGTTAGTTAATGGAACTAGATTCATACGAGGTCTTCTATCAATACAATTATATTATTCTAAGCTACTTCTTACAATAACTGTAAGACAAAAGGCAGTTCTTGTACTCATATAGCATAGACTTCGTAATTGTATTGATAATTTTTCATATTATCACATTTATACATCCAATACTTCATCAAAGCACACCGACTTCACACATTAAAACTTATAAAAGTACCCTTCATAAAAATACTGATTCTCACCAAACTCAACATTGTATTGAGTATGATACAATTGACACTCAAATTAGAAAAAATAAGTAATTTCTTACACTCTGAAGCAGTTCAATGTTCAAGATTTTTCGCAGTGTTCACACAGAGGACACAATTCCTCAAGAACAATACAAAGTGTGTGTGCTCACACACCTGTTGGCCGGACGTCAATGTCCATTCATGATACTGCCAGTTTCCTTCAGGTCGTTCAGCTGATCCGCGTACTCCGTGTACAGCCTCTGCCACCTGAGTTGTTTGACTAGGAGTGCAAGCATCTCCTCAAGAATATCGTGTTTTTTTATTCCCTGGAAAGGATTGAAGTATGTCCATCATCATATAGAAATTTCGTGAAGAAATTTTTATAATGAAATAATTATTTTTAAGAAAAACAACCAATACATTGTGCCAGTAATGATTTACGGAACCGATGTAGGGTCTTCCGCAAGTCACTACAGTGCATCAGTTAATTAATCTCCTTTATTAACAAGTCTTACAATTTTGAAGATTTGTTAATAAAGAACAATAATTAAAGTTTGTACTTCTATTAAATGGGCGATCAAGAAAAAAATATTATCATTTCCAACTTACCAAAACTGTGGACTGCCATTTCTTGGGCGTCGACGTACAGTGACTGGGTCCGAGCATGTCGTCTAGTATGTACCTCAACTGGTCTTCTGTGCCTGGAATTTGTTGAGCTAATTTATAAACTAAAGCTAAACGACAAAATGATGCTTAGACAAAACTTCTGCTATTTAGTCAAGTTCGGGGAGATGCCGAGTGTTTCTTAAAAAGTAATTAAAAATACATGTTAAGGTGAAACATACGGTCTGTTCTCGGCCATATTCCCGCGAGAAGGCGCTGAAGTCATAATTTTTTAGTTTATTCGGGTTTTTGTGTAATTGAAACATTATTAAGTCGTAGAAGTAGCAATAGCGATAATCGGACATTATACTTTATTTTACTAGGTCATATCATTGCCTGAAATTCCACACAATTCAACACAAATTTTAAAAATAACATCTGTCATTGAATATAGTGTCGTTTACACACACTGACGTGAGTGAATTCTTAGTCCCTACATTTACGAAAATTGAACACTAGATGGCGTGAATGAAAAAAAATGTTTTCCTTTTTTCTGTATGAGTAGGCAGAACTACAGAACGCCACCTGCTAGGATATCGTCGTTCGGCATTCAGTACCGCGAATGTGTAATTTAGTCACTTTACAGGAAAGACAAAAAACTGATTTATTTATAATGTACGCTTTACTATTTGTTGGGAAGTGTTTTTAAGTATTAATACTATCAGCTTTTGCTGCCAACGCCATAACCGTATATCTAAATTTATTATATTTTATAATAATGCACATTAGCGGTATTTACCGAAGATTATTGGTCAAAAGTTTAACATTTGCGGTTTTTGTCAGTCTATTTGGTCATTTTATAGTGACATTCGCTGTTATACTTACAATGAAAGAAAATAAAAAAAACAGTTAGTTACTGTGAAATGTACATATTTATTTAGTAAAAAATCAGTCTGAACTAGTGACAAAATATATCTAACGTGTTATGAATCCTATTATCACAATGTACTTATATAATAATAACGTAAAAAAATCAGTCCACAAATTAACGGTCTTCTATAATGTTATTGTAACAATCAAATTAAGTTCTCCTCTTCTTCTTCTTCTTCTATAAAAATTAATAAATAAATGCAACCTTTTCAACGATTGGGGTAAGTTGTCATAAAAAGCATGGAAGTCGCGGGGCAAAAACTGTTTGAAATCTTGTAAATGTTGTTATTTTTGTTTTTTTATTGGTATGGGATTTGTATGCAATGGTGGATAAGCTAAAGGTGAAATTAAGGTTCGCGCTCTCCTCAGTAGGTCTTCATATGGGGTGTCTAAATCATGGGTCAATTTAAATTTTATTCTCCCAGCAGGGCCATAGCCTTGATATCCTTCACTACTGCGCCTTGTCTTTGAGATGGTCTTATCAAGTCATATCTCAATACTTCCTTAATAGGAAAAATCTTTAAAAAATTCAAAAGTGACCATCTTTTGCTCGTATGGAAATGGCTTGCTTCTTGCTGCACTAGCCATACTGGCATATGACTTGGCAAATATATTTCTATGTTTTTTAATCTGCGTTCAATGCACCTATGGGCAGAATTACACTCCATCTGTGTGTGGCCTTTAACAACTTATTTTTGGTTGATCACGACATTCTTTTAAATAGCCAACTCGAGTAAGGCATTTGAGATTACTGCATTACATATTACATACGATTTTGGTAAGTGCACCCATCTGAATAATGTATATAAATGGTTTATATTTCGTACGATTGGTTCAAGGTACAACTTGCTAGAGGACTTTCTACAATAATGTGACAAAACTTTCGGTAAGGAATTTATAAAATTAACAATAGAGTCCTTCTTCTTGCTATTCTGTATTTTTCTAATCAGAGGCATTTATCTCTGGTCTCCTGAGTAGGTTTGTCATGTCATCCGATATCTTAGTGCCCACTAATTCGCATTCAAAAACAAAATTCTACAAACACGAACTCGACAGTGCCTAACCAATAAATTATAGATTTTAGTTGAACCTTGAATTATTATCATCATGATTGTTTCTTCTACTAGCAGGTAACTTTATATCTATCATGGATTTTACATAAACCTTCTTTTTACTCCAAGTCATATTCAAAAATTGTTTGAAAATCTCTTTTCTATCATCCTCTGAAATTTATTTGCATAATGAACCTCCATTCAAACACACATTAGAAGGACAGCGCATTTTCATTACTCTCTCTTCTCTCGCAACGTCTTGAACCATTTATTTTCGTCCTTTCTAAAGCCAGTATATTTTTTCCTTCCATCCGTTTTTTTCTTTTCAATATACGTTTTGGTGTTGATCTCTCATTAATCTGGTTGGTATTTTTATCACTACCATCCTGCCGTGGATTTAGCCAATCCTTAAAATCGGATAGTAAGGCAACTGGAACGCAATTGGTATAAATGATTTCTACATTTTCAGATAGTGAATCGGGAAGGTCTGTTGTACAATGATCAATATTATTAGGTTCTCTACTTTCAAGGTATGATTTTAGAAAAATTGAAGAACCTTGAATCTGGTAAATTTTCTTTTTCAGAACATGATGCAAAATAATAGTCAGGTACATTATTATTAACTTCATTGACCACGGGTTCCATTTTTTTTGACGCTCTTGAAATAGCAACAGGTGATACAGGCTTCAACAAAGATGATTAATTATGGGTTCGGGGATTTTTAGCACGAGCCCTATCTAACAAGGGCTTGCTAAACCCCATTTCCTTCATTAATTCTTCGTCTGAAGAAGATCCCTTTGTATCTGCCATGATTCTACAACAAATAATGCCTTTTAATTACATACTTGAATAATAATGGGACGATGAAATAGGTATAGAAAAAACTCGTTAGAAAGCTACTTATTAACCATCATGTTATTCTCTAGTGAGCGGTAACACATTGACTTTTGCATTTATAAAATTTGTAGGAAATTTATGATTAAACAAGCTTTCAAACAACAGCCTTCAATTTATCAAAATTTAAACAAAATACATGCTCAAAATAAATACTCGCATTCTAAATATACTTATGTAGAAACCGCGAACGTAACAGTTACGGATAGAAAACGATCAAATCAAATCCGCGATTGTGACATCAAATATTGAAGTAAAGTTTATGGAATTATAATTGCAATAAGGTTGAAAAACTTTGCTTTATGATAATCTACATACTTTAACCTTTCTGGTTAATATAGTTTCAATCAAAAAATATTTAATTAGCATTTTAAAACTTACCTTCAAACGTGGCACGTAACTTACTCCTTCATTTACTATGGCGGCACTGGCGAATTCGCGGTAATGCGTAAGCGAGAGGGAGGTAGTTATATTCGCGGTAATACTTTCATCGTATTTTCTCTATTTTGGAAAGATTTATGGTCATATTTTAAATACAAAATCGCGTATTTGATTGAATACTATCGAAAAAACAAAAAATAAAAATTTGCAATTTTTTCACATTCGCGGTACTGAATGCCGAGCGACGATATATATTATGTGCGATTCATCATCTGCCTAGCCTTTTTCCCAACTATATTGGGGTCGGCTCCCAGTCAAACCGGATTCAACTGAATACCAGTATTTTACGATTATGTTATAAAAATAAAAGTTATATTTGTAAAATGAGGCGTGGTAACTCAGATGGTTAGCACTCGCTGTAAGTTTCACAGTACGCGAGAAACCCGGGTTCGATCCCCGCCGGCACCAATAAAATTGTTAATTGCAATTTTAAGTGCTTATTTACCACGTGCTCGGCGGTGAAGGAAAACATCGTGAGGAAACCTGCATGTCTGACAAATAAGAAAAAAAAATATATTTCGAAGAGATGTGAAGTTCGCCAACACGCATTGGGGTGGGGCATCGCGGCGGACCTTTCCTTGCCCTAAAACCCTCTCAGAAATGAGAGGAGGCCTGTGCCCAGCTGTGGGACGTGTATATAGGCTGCAACTTTTTTAACTTACATTTGTAGGCGTAAATAAACTATTTAAATCAATAATCTTGGAAAATAAATTATCTCAACACTAACAACAATAAAACGCAGTTTTATTTTATAACCTTACACTATTGAAATTAATGATCAAAACAAGTATTTGAAGCATTTATTTTTATACAAAATTAGCATTTATTATACACAGATAAATATTATGTAATACACAACTTTAAATTAATCTCAAGAAGACAAAAAGTAATCGTTGCGACCGGGGACTGAAGCTTGGTTTTTAGAACATTATCTTAAAATTTTCTCTAAATTTGTTAAGAAAATAACAAAAGTAATTCAACCGGTGGATCGAACCCGGAATCATAGATTATTATCTTAAAAATTCCCTTATGAATTTGCTAAGAAAACAACAAGTTCGACCGGGGTTCGAACCCTGGACCTTAGGTTAGGATTCGAAATTTCTTTAAAATTTTACTAAGCGTTATCTTATAGTATAATTATTGCTTGATAATTTATCTTTAGAAGCTATTCGTAATTTGTAAACTAATAAATTGAAATATTGTTTATAGACGCGTCGCCAACAGTATGCGATAATTACCAGGAAGGTGAAAAAATATTTCCTAATTTCAAAGCACACACAACTACAAAAGCTTCTAGTAAAACAAAAATCATTTGACTTGTTGATTATTTTTTTATTAGATTAGTTTTAGGGCAAGAAAAGAAAATGTCCGCCGCGGTGCAAGTAACAAATTCATCAGTGACGGTTGGGCTCGAACTCGGGTTGCTTGCGTAGTGTGAAATTTGCAGTGAGCGCTAACCATCTGAGCTACTATGGCTCGTACACGTGTTTACCAATTTTTAGATAATATACCATCGATCACTAATAAAAAACTAGATGCACAATCCCATACAAAAGTTCTCTAAAAACTGTCGCCAAATGTTTTGACGTAATTCTAGTTGATATAAAAATACATTAATGTAAATTCAACCTTAAGTGAACCAACCTAAAGTTGTATTGAAAAAGCAACGTACAAAAAGCAATAAAATTTTACGACTGAGGCTCGTCGCTCGGACAAGGAGAGTGGAGTCGAACTGCACAATATTTTTTGTTACTGTAATTTTAATTTTACAATTTTTTTAAACTTGTTTTAAGTAATTGGTCTACTTAATAAAGCATATTCTATTTTATTCTATGGTGTGTAATGGTTATATTATTACCTGAATGTAAATATGCTTTTGGATAGGGCACCACATTCATTTAGTAATGAAAGTAATTGAAACAGTCATAATTATTTAATTATTCTTTATTTTGTGTGAAAAATTTAAAGATATTGCTTGACAAACAAGTTAAATCTAAATATAATAGTTACTAAATATAAAAAAATACAGAAAGTTCTTGCAAAATCTAAGAATATTACTGTACAAATTTTGACGTAATGTTCATATTTACAGATATTTAAAAAAACGGATAAGACTGAATAATCATAATGATTTCTTACATTCACTACACATTTAAATGAAACTTTTTTTACGGATTTTATCGCGTATATTAACTTATTTTATATTCCCAACGTTTCGAGTACTATAATATTTAGAGAAACAGTAAAGAACTCTCATTAAACAAAAAAAAAACAATCATACTTTAATAATAAAAAAATAAAAAAACAAAAAAACAATAGAGTTTCTACAAATGGAACAGAATCAACGCATATACCTCGAACAATGACGACTTATTTTATTAGGACTTAATTTAAAAAATACTTTTACGATGATTTCTTGACATAATATCAGTATTTACAATACAGTTATAACAATTAAATAATGTTAATATTAATACTTACCGAAAATATGAAATTCCATCCTTTTTTAGCGTCCTGGATGTGTTATTTTTACACTTTTTAAACGAGCACTGAGGCATGTTTACCGTCGAAGCATTCAAATGCTACTAGATTAAAAGTGCACCCTTATGTTCGAGTGGGTGCACATTCGGTTATGCCATTTTTTGTCACCGATTGTATATCTAGTTTTTTATTAGTGATCGATATAATATACTTACATTTATTTCTATTCTATTTTTATAAAGTTTGATATTTATAATTATGTTATTGATAAACATTTTATTAGTAAATAAATAATTATTAATCTAATAACCATAATAAAACAAAATTAATATTAAATACATCTGTTATCCAAGGACAAATTAACTAAAAAAGTCCAGGACCAACAACAACCAACGATACGACGCGATCTTGAGCTTGGTAATACAACAAAATACAACAAACTAATAATAATATGTGTCTGTCTGAAACTGTTTGCAAAATACGTAATAGGTATTTTTACGTAACCCCGCAAAACCATATTTTGCAAATGTTTGTAAAATTAATTTTGTGACTACTTTGGTGGTTTACCAATTTATAATTTTATTTATTGTTGAAAAAAATATTCAAACAAAACACTGACTTTGTAATTTTGTACTCAACACCGACACGTATGACATAGGTAATTAATATTGTAACGAGATTTGAAATTGCCAACTTGCGTTTCTAATACCACCGAAAACAAAATTGCGTATTTTGAATAATTAATTACTATACTTAAAATAAATTACAATATATTGTATAATATTGGAATCAAATACATACTAGAAATATTGCAAATTGAACCAATGAAAATCATACAAAAATATAATATAAATCGCAAGAAATTCCGCGCGCAAATCCTATCCCTTGACAATCGAGATTTACTAAAGAATGTTTAAATTTTATTACAGTCAAACAAGACAAGGAAGTTTAGCATCGCTTTTTCTTCATGCATCTAGTTCAAGGTTAGGAAGTATGGCATCGTTGCATAATATCTACCCACAAATAATGGTATTTGTTGGACTACAACTTCGTCTGCACACCATCTAGCGTGCAAATGTTTAAACTATGTTTTGGCGCTTTTGCTTGTCAATTTGTCAAAATTCACTCACACTACTAAAGAAGTGACAAAATTTTCCTAGATTTCACTATTGTTTTTCTTAATAAATACTGTAAGTTATATCCTAATAAAGTCAATCGCGAGCACATTTCAGTACAGAAAAGTGATAAAATGATTAGTTTTAAACAAATAGTGTATGTGTTTACGTATATATGAAAAGAACAATGTATGGCGCGGCTATCGGAGGATCCCCCTTAATTGACAAAGGTGTAATTTTTTTATTCTTTTTTCTGTTACTTCTTTGTTTAACCTTATCTTTATACTTAACTCTCTCTCTATGCTTACTATTTACTAAAATAACTAACTAACATAAACTAAAATAACTAACATAATTAGCAATTATGCATGTATAACCATAACCATCTAATGTGACTGTTATAAACTAAAAAGTCAAGTAACCACCTATTGTCAAACCCTCTCAGAAATGAGAGGAGGCCTGTACCCAGTGACCGTAGGACGTATATAAGCTGTAACTTTAAACTTTAACCACGTATTGTACTCATATAAATAAAAATAAAAATAATTTACCGTGATTAACAAGGTGACTGAAGAGTGACGAGAGCCAATGTTTGTAGTCTTTTGCCAGTCTCAGATGTAGACATGAGGCCACTTGCGCCTCCAGCCAACTTCTGGCAGCACCTGCGCTGTAGCTGCTGGCAGTTTTCAATTTTATTGATTAATCTTACAATTATGAATTAAATTGCATAAACGAATTATTACAAGAATGAAGTGTAAAAAACAAAGTAAGGGGCTTTGCTTGACCTGTTTGTGTTGTGTTTTGTATGGAGAATAACGAAAACTAGATACCCATTTTACTAACAAGGCATGCCATCTTAATCATTAGGGATGACGAGGCACGAGGCATCTGCATTTTGATTCCTAATCGAGGATCGATGTGTCTATGGGCCACAGCATCCACTTACCATGACTTGAGTTGAGTACTCGTTTGTTATCTCTTTACTTCTATAAAATACTCGTTTTCTAAAAATAATGGTGACAATAGCACACAGTCCACCTAATGATACGTGGATGCTGTGGCCCATCTACCCTCGATTAAGAATCAAAATTCAGATGCATTGTCATCCCTGAGGACTAAGAAGGAATGCCTCGTTTCCAGTAAAAGGGGTCTCTGGTTCTCTACACTTACCATACGAAACACAGCAGCATTTTTCTGCTATATTACGCTGGTATTCTGTGAGAACATGGTCCTTCCTCGGTCGAGCCAACCCATTCGTGCTACAACTATAACATAGTTGCAGCATGGCTCTGCCACGTCAAAAAATTTCTCAATTAATGGCATTGTGTAACAAAAAAATTCATCTTAGTCGCAACTGTATCTGGTAAGCGAAAGATTATTAGCCCTCATTGTGACTGCAGTGTGTAGTGTGTGACCCGGGTCAGATGATTCGATCATTCGACCCGGGGCGCGTCAAAGTATTGATGATTACAATTGCATTTTTTGAATGGTCCGGAAGATTGACAATACTGTTATAACCTTAGACCTATGATAGATTGTTTGCATGAATTGTAAATGTAAAAGTATTTCGGAAATAGACGTTTTCTACTTATTATTCAGAACAATTGTGATACTCGTTTTTACCAATCTCGACTAAATATTATAAGGCAGAAATGCGTGTCAGTTTCAGTTTGAGGTAGCATGGAAATTTCTTTCATTTATTAATTAAACAGTAAATATTATTTAAAATATTAAATCATTTATACATACATGGTAAAGTTCAGAATACTATGTAATAAATAAATAAACAGTAAAATAAAGTGTTTATTTGCGTTTATTCAAACTATAGAGTATATAGTAATGAATGACTAACTGAAACTCGAAAAGATCCATTTGAAAGAATGTCCTGAATGAGACGGTTCGTGTGACGAAACAATACTGTTGCGCGCCATCATTAACGACTGGTACATGGCGACCCTAGTTACCACTAGCGCCCTCTAGTATGGAGTAGCAGAACTAGGAGAGTCAAGATCCTTTTAGAAATTTCCATGGAAGAACTTTTTAGAACTATCGACAACTAGTCAATCGGGACCGGTATGTACTCGAAAATTCTAGATGTTTCTACAGTAGAAGATTCTGGAACTATCTGAGGCCTATCTATGAGAACTGCATAAACTCACGCCTGTCACCCAGATGGGTAGGCAGAAACTACAGACTTCCATTTGGCGTGATCCTGACACACCTCTCTCGCCTCTTTTACATCCATATATCTACGCATACACGCTCATCGGTTAAGGGTACTCCTAATCTGGCCCATTTTTAATGTATCGCCGATTTGGTCGATAAACCTTCGTCTAGGGCGTCCCTTCCCGACCCTGCCGTTCACTTCCGCCACATAAATTTGCTTTGTCACTCTTTCCTCGTTCATTCTTTCTACATGACCAAACCACCGAAGCATTCCTTTCTTAATCCTTGTCACAACGTCATCTTGCAAACCACACTTTTCTCTTATCACACTATTTCTTACCCTGTCATTCAGATTCAGCCCTAGCATACTCCTTAAGGAACGCATTTCTACAGCATTTATTCTACTTTCATGCTTCTTCTGCCAGACCCAACTTTCACTACCATACATTAAAGTAGGGACTAACACAGCATTATGAATTGCCATACGTGCCTTAGTTGACACATTCTGACTCCTCGCGTGTAGAGCCCCATTCACTCTATTTCCTGCGTTAACTCGTCGTTCTATATCTTTATCATATCTACCATCCCTGCTAAATAAACATCCCAAATATACAAACTCATCCACTTGCTCAATCAACTCTCCTTCTATTCTTATTTCACATAAAGTTTTACTTTCTTCTCTTTCAAAAACCTTCGTCTTTTCATTTCATCACTTTCGTCTTTCTTGCGTTCACTTTCATATGAGAACTATCTGAAAGTGATCAGTAGTACAATTGTGTTTTGTTATAAGTGTGGTTTTAAGTTGTAATTAGTGTTCTGTAATTAAAGTGTCAATTGTGATAATTCACTCGGCAGGTTTTAATTGTCTTGAACCCAAGCTCGTAACAATACTAATATTTAATGATCGTGTCACTAAAAATGAACGATTGGTAGATGTGTAGTAGTGTGTGTGTGCGCGCAGTAGTGCAGCACTCACGCGACGTTAGTGTGCGGGCGCAGCGGCGGCGGCGGGGCGGAGGGCGTGCGCGGTGCGGTGAGCAGCGCGGCGGGCGCGCGCGGCGCGGAGGCGCGGGGCGCGCGCGCGCTGCGGGACGAGCGCCAGCCGCCGCCCGCGCGCCGCACCGGGTCACTCGCGTCCGCCCACACCACCCTGCGGCACCGTACTTTTTTATTTATTTATTAAGATTTTAGCTTGGATGCTTGTCCTTTAAGCCATGTCTTTATTTTATTCGGGATCTTCGTTTTTATAGACTTTCAGTATCAAGTTATAATAATCCTTTATAGTTACTGCTTCACAAAATGTCGATGCATCACATTGGGTAGTTTTAAAGAGATTTTGACGACAACTTTAGCCAACTGACAGTTGGCGATAGTATCTCAAAGCGCCTAAGTAGACAGACGTCTTATCTTGAAATTCACATAATTATCAGAACACTTGTAACACCGTTTTTACTAATAGATCACATGTGTAGACATTCAATACACATAACAGCACTATTAATTTTTCATTAGCTCTTAAATTCTTACATCATTGTCCTTAAAACGAATTAAAAAATGTTCCCTATTTGGTTGGTAGTACAATTATGTATGATAATTTAAGTTCTTAGTTCACAGTTTTTTATAGGATAGGGTGACAAACAAGCACACAGTCCACCTGATGGTAAGTGGTTACTGTGACCCATAGACATCTACATCCATCCTCAATAAAGACCCAAGATGCAGATGCGGTGTCACCCTTGAGGACTAAGATGGAATGCCTCTTTTCCAGTAAAAAGGGTCTCCGGTTCTCTACACTCACCATACGAAACACAGCAGCGTTAAGCTGCTATTTTACGCTGGATTTCTGTGAGAGCGTGGTCCTTCCCCGGTCACGCCGACCCATTCGTGCTTCAACTATACAACTAATATAGCTGCAGCATGGCTCTACCACATAAAAATTAATATTATGTAAATTTCAATAGTGTGTATATAAATTATAATTTAAGGTATGTATCAGGTGAGATACCCATTTCACATTAAAAATAGAAACTCCTTTATAATAAGACGCACTCTCAACATATCGTCAACGCTCATTTATCGTAACGTGCATCGAAATAGCACATAGCTCAACATGGCAGTGTAATTTACGCGGTGTTGTTATCGGCAAAATCTCCAAGGACAGACGTTACATAGCTGTTAAACTTGACCAAAGAGAAATTGACCTTATAGGTCTTGCAAACACAATTTTACGTCAAGTTTAAATATTTATCTGGTGTTTATTTATTTGATTATGTTATAAGAATATTCGAACTTTCAATGTCTGATTTTCAGATACAATAGTAAAACTATAACAATAAACTATATTATGTAGTTACACGGGACAGCATATTGGTTAATTTGTAAAAACTTACCATGCACATAATTTCTTGCTGTAAATATAATTTTTTCCATTACTTAATGAGATCATTGGGTTGCCATCCTCCAGAAGTGAGCAATTTGTAACAGTCACTGTAAAAAAAAATTGCATGAGGCTGGGAGTTGGCGTGTGTTCGTTTGGTTGTCTGAATGATGTCTGAATCTGTGTTTAAATGATTGTCTTTTACTCCATTTAGTTTGAGGAAATGTTCATTACATTCATTCATTTAACTCATTACAGCCTATCAATCATATTCATCCTGAACATAGGCCTCCAACATAGATAGATTTCTTTATAGGGGGAATATTTGTTATGTGTATTTGCCCCTCTTGCCGGGAGGGTTAATAACCGGTTATATCCTTATAACCGGTTATAAGACTATATACACTCTTTATTCTTCAAAACAGAATAAGGCAATGTACGCACTGCTGTTTGGTGACAGAAATAGGTAAGAGGCTGGTGCCCTTCTTACTGGAAACGAGGCATTCCATCTTAGTCCTCACGGGTGACAACGCATCTGCATTTTGATTCGTAATCGAGGATAGATGTTGACGTATATGTGCCATAGCAACCACTTACCATCAGGACTGTGTTCGTTTGTCACCCTTATCCTTTTAAAAAAAACCTACACAGTCGGACTCCTTAGCAGAAAAGGAACCTAGTTAACGCCTTTAACACTGTATAAAAAAAGGAAACATAGGAATCTCCTTACCTCCATGTGATAGTAAGTTCCTAAAACATAAAGGCCTGATCACACAGGAAGCGTTCGAAAGTTCCCATATAGCGAGTTCCGCTGATGTCGTAACCACTAACAGCGTGTCGCCTGTTAGCGTCATTTTAGCGGCCTGGGACATCAGTGCTGAAAGGAAAAAAAATGTATCACGTTAGTAAATGATATACAATGTTACTTATAGCCGATGATTATCGCCTACTTAAATGAAGAAGTAATTTTGTTTATACTTGTCCCTTTCTATTATAATGCAGTTAAAAAGAATCGAATTAACTATTGTATGGAATTGTAATCGCTAATTTGGCTATCGATTAAGACCTAAACATTTGGGATATGCTAATGATCAGCAGTGGATAATTACAAGCAACGTTGTTTATAAAATTCTACAACTGGTTTTACCCTTTTTCTATAAAAAAAGTTATATCGTTTATCCAGAAGTCATACTGCCAGTAACATCACGCACGCGATGCACGTCACCTACACACGGTGCACACGGTGCACACGCACCAGTAGTGCGAGGTGCGAGGTGCACTCACCGAGCGGCGGCAGCGCGCGCGCGGCGTGTGCTCGCACCAGGCGCCACACGCACGCGATGCACGTCACCTGCACACGGTGCACACGGTGCACACGGCACCAGTAGTGCGAGGTGCGAGGTGCACTCACCGAGCAGCGGCAGCGCGCGCGCGGCGTGTGCTCGCACCAGGCGCCACACGCACGCGATGCACGTCACCTGCACACGGTGCACACGGTGCACACGGCACCAGTAGTGCGAGGTGCGAGGTGCACTCACCGAGCGGCGGCAGCGCGCGCGCGGCGTGTGCTCGCACCAGGCGCCACACGCACGCGATGCACGTCACCTGCACACGGTGCACACGGTGCACACGGCACCAGTAGTGCGAGGTGCGAGGTGCACTCACCGAGCGGCGGCAGCGCGCGCGCGGCGTGTGCTCGCACCAGGCGCCACACGCACGCGATGCACGTCACCTGCACACGGTGCACACGGTGCACACGGCACCAGTAGTGCGAGGTGCGAGGTGCACTCACCGAGCGGCGGCAGCGCGCGCGCGGCGTGTGCTCGCACCAGGCGCCACACGCACGCGATGCACGTCACCTGCACACGGTGCACACGGTGCACACGGCACCAGTAGTGCGAGGTGCGAGGTGCACTCACCGAGCGGCGGCAGCGCGCGCGCGGCGTGTGCTCGCACCAGGCGCCACACGCACGCGATGCACGTCACCTGCACACGGTGCACACGGTGCACACGGCACCAGTAGTGCGAGGTGCGAGGTGCACTCACCGAGCGGCGGCAGCGCGCGCGCGGCGTGTGCTCGCACCAGGCGCCACACGCACGCGATGCACGTCACCTGCACACGGTGCACACGGTGCACACGGCACCAGTAGTGCGAGGTGCGAGGTGCACTCACCGAGCGGCGGCAGCGCGTGCGCGGCGTGTGCTCGCGCCAGGCGCCACACGCACGCGATGCACGTCACCTGCACACGGTGCACACGGCACCAGTAGTGCGAGGTGCGAGGTGCACTCACCGAGCGGCGGCAGCGCGCGCGCGGCGTGTGTTCGCACCAGGCGCCACACGCACGCGATGCACGTCACCTGCACACGGTGCACACGGTGCACACGGCACCAGTAGTGCGAGGTGCGAGGTGCACTCACCGAGCGGCGGCAGCGCGCGCGCGGCGTGTGCTCGCGCCAGACGCCACACGTGCAGCGCGCCGTCCGCACACGACACGCACACCCACCGCGCGTCGCACGCGATGCACGTCACCGGCGAACCTGCACACGACACCGATTGCTTTAGTCATATTATAACTGCCTCGTTGCACTAATGTTCGTACAATGCGATTCAAATAAAAATATATCGTCGTGGTACAACCGTCGGCAATATCCTCGAATGACCACAATCTGTCAACCGTCACTTGAAAAGTACGACTTAAGTACCTTGCCGCGCGTCTTCCCGCGCCCTTAACTTCCGTCATACCACTAGGTACCTACGTCCGCCGGGCCGGCCGACAGCTGACAGCGTTGACCGTGGACCTCTTTACGTTAAATTTTCGTAAGTAGTAGTGTCACTTCGTTACAAATGACGGATAGAAAATATTCATACCGCAAATAATATGAAACGATGAAATGGTGGGGTATTATATTTTAAGCAATGAAAGTTTACGTGGTGCGCAAAGATTATACGAAAGTGAGTCTTTACCAACCAACCAAAGAATAATTGACAGCTTATCAAACTATTTAAGTGCAGTGAGTGATAATTTAAATTGTAATTATGACGATAGATGGATTGAGCACGGAAACCCTATACTATGGTTTGCAAACTCGCCAGAACTATCACCGTTAGACTTTTATCTGTGGGGTGAAATAAAGAGTCGTGTTTACGTCGAAGAAGCCCAAAGTTATGAAGATCGCCACAGTAAAATTATGGCTGTATTCACGGAAGTTAAAAGTGCTTAAGCAGAGGTAATATGTGTAAAAAATTATTTCCGAAAACGTGCTCGTTTATGCATATAGAGAAACTGATTCCATTTTGAGGTAGCAATATTAGTTATTGGGCCTACTTGCGTAATTTAGTTGTAAATAGTTTATTCCAATTTTTAATACATCACTATAATGACAGTCACAAGGAACGGCAGACAGAAATCAAAAATATTTTTTTTAATTTTATGTATTATGACGATCCTAAGCCCGTTAAAAGTGTGAAGGGAAAATTGGAATCCTAATCCGGGTCATGTAGTTATTAACTTAAGCATTAGTAGTAAGCGTGTCACTAAAAAAGTAAACTGTATGCAAAAACTTGAGAAACGGAAACGTGAATTGAATCGCGCGTACGTGCGTATTTGTTGCCCATGAATCACACTCAATTTAGGATAGTTTCAAATAAAAGTACGAATTTTCAAAAAATGTAATATCGGTATATCATTATTTATATATTTGAACTTGAAATATAAAATTTGACTACCCTTTGAAAAATAACCCTGTATATTTACCTGAATTTTATTAACAAACATAATTGTTTAACAAATTTAAGTCTATACGAGGGTGACACTGAAAGTTCTTAGAAAATCAAAAACTGAACAAACTAGTTACTTATTAGTTTTATTATATATTTTCAAAATAGTGTCCGTTTATTATTTCTGTCAATTTATGAGGTATCCACCGGGCACAAAGCTTTCTGACCGCTAAATGTACATGGAGGATTTTGTGCACATGACTCATACCGATGCCTAAGCTCGTCCGAATCTGCTGATAAGTCACTCTTTTGTCGGTCTCAACCATACGCCGCACAACACTGATGTTATCTTCAGTCGTCGCCGTAGAAAGCCATCCCTCACGTATATCATCGGTGAGATTAGTGCGACCACATTTAAACTCATTAAAATAGCTGTAAACAGCACGAGATGGGGCTTCATCGTGAATGGCCAATCGAAGTCGATCATAACTTTCTTGTTGACTTAAATGACATCGAGAATCATAAAAAATAACTGTACGAAAATTTTCTCGCGTTAAATTCATGCTGACGTGACACAGACAATTTTCAATTTGCCGCCAAATCGTAAACAAATGACTAGGTAATTAATAAAATACATACACAATAACATTGACAAAGTGTTCCATTTTCAAATTTGAACTTATTTTTTTATTATATCGTTTACAAGTGACCGTGTAGTGGCGGTTGAGAATATCCACTACACCATATCTTCCCGTGGGTGTCGTAGAAGGCGACAAAGGGAAAGGAGATGGGCAGCAGCATCTTCCTGATAACAGCAAAATACAAAAAAAAACTGCGGTAGCCAACCCGCTCGCCAAGCGTGGCAACTATGGCAAATACCCCCTCCCCCCCCCCTAAGAATGAATGTAACAAAGAGACGGCCTCCAGTCCCCGGCGGCTCCGCTATTCCTGGCTACGGTGGCGACCATGGTAACGGCGGGGCAGGGGTGCTAAGAATCTCCGGTGGAGGTTCGGTTACCAATTAAAACGATTCGACCTGGCAAAATACAAAGCACGCTCCCTGAGGACTGACGAGAAGATTGTGGAGCTGGAAGAAGAGATAGACAAGTTACGCTGGCATATTATAGGATTATCCGAAGTCCGAAGAGAGGGGTAGGACACGGTAATCCTCGAATCCGGCAACTTGCTTTATCACCGGGAGGGCGACCATCTGTCCCAAGGAGGTGTCGTATTTATCGTCCACAAGTCTCTCGTTAACAACGTTGTAAAGATTGAGTGTGTCGACGAGGGTTGCGTACCTTATACTCAGAATCACTCAAACGGTATTCGCTGAAGGTCATACAGGTTTACGCACCAACCTCGGCACACCCCGATGAGGAGGTGGAGGAAATGTATGAGGATATCTCTAGAGCCATGCATTCCTCCAAAACCCAATATACGGTGTTAATGGGAGACTTTAATGCAAAACTAGGCACAAGAGAGAACGGTGAGCTGAAAGTAGGGAAATTTGGAATAGGGCAACGGAACCCAAGGGGCCAGCAGCTGGCCGACTTCATGGAGAAAGAGGAACTCTTTATGATGAATTATTTTTTCCAGAAGCGGCCCCACAGTAAGTGGACCTGGTCGAGCCCCGACAGTTCGACAAAAAATGAGATTGACTTTATTATGACGACCAGACGACAACTGTTCAGTGATGTCTCCGTGATCGCGAGGGTGAAAACTGGTAGCGATCACCGAACGGTCAGAGGCACACTGAACCTAAACGTTAAGTTGGAGAGATCTCGTCTAATGAAGTCAACGCTACGTCCCCCTCGTGCTCTGTTCCAAAGTCCCGAAACCTTTCAGCTCGAGATACAAAACCGTTTTCAGTGCCTAGAAAACTGCAATGAAGTGGACAATATGAATGACAAGCTCGTGGAAACTGTCCATGCGGTCGGAGCTAAGTTCTGCAAGAGCCGCCGCAGAAGAACCCAAAAACTCTCCGATCACACTCTTAATCTCATGGCTGTTAGACGGGAGATGAAGCTACACTCTTCAAAAGATTTGACAGCATACAGGCAACTGAACAGACAGATCTCCAAATTCATGCGGCGGGACTTACGCAACTTCAATACAACTTATATTGAAGAAGCGATCAAGCGGGACCAAGCCTCCAAAGTCTTTGCCAGAGATCTGTCTGCCAGAAAGAGCCATCTGTCAAGGCTGAAGACCGAGTGTGGCAGCATTGTTTCCGGGGCACCTGAGATTTTGAGTGAGATTGAGAGGTTCTATGGGCAGCTGTACACGTCATCGTTGGAGCCACACGCAAGTGTGAGTAACGATCCAAGAGCGAGTCTTATTCGACACTATTCCGAAGATATCCCGGACGTCAGTCTGACCGAGATTAGAATGGCTCTCCACCTTAAAAACGGCAAGATCCCAGGCGAGGATGGAATTACAGCGGAGCTTCTGAAAGCGGATGGAAAACGGGTACTTGAAGTCCTTCAGAAGCTTTTTAATTCCGTCCTCAATGGCGGCATTACACCGGAGGCGTGGAGCAGAAGTGCGGTGGTCTTATTCTTCAAGAAAGGTGACAACGCTCTCTTGAAGAACTACAGACCGATTTCCCTTCTGAGCCGCGTCTACATGCTGTTTTCGAGAGTCATTACGAATCGTCTCGCGCGCAGACTTGACGACTTCCAGCCTCCCGAACAAGCCGGTTTCCGAAAGGGCTTTAGCACCATAGACCACATACATACCCTTCGGCAAGTTGTACAGAAGTCCGAGGAGTACAATTTGCCACTATGTCTGGCGTATGTGGACAATGAGAAAGCCTTTGATTCCGTCGAAATTTGGGCGGTGCTGCAGTCCCTTCAGCGGTGCCAAGTTGACTGTCAGTATATCGAAGTGCTGAAGTGTTTGTACAGTAGAGCTACGATGGCTATCTGAGTACAGAACCAGAGTACGAAACCTATCCAATTGCAGAGAGGTGTAAGACAGGGTGATGTTATATCCCCGAAACTCTTCACCGCTGCATTGGAAGACGTTTTCAAGCTTCTGGACTGGAAAGGATACGGTATTAACATCAATGGCGAGTACATCACTCACCTTCGATTTGCCGACGATATAGTCCTTATGGCAGAATCGCTGGAGGAACTAAGCACCATGCTCAATGACCTCAATAGTGTCTCCCAACGGATAGATCTTAAGATGAACATGGACAAAACAAAGATCATGTTTAATGTCCATGTCACACATATGCCGGTAGTTGTTGGGAGCACTAAGCTCGAAGTTATTGACGGGTATGTTTACCTGGGACAAATAGTCCGACTAGGTAAGTCTAACTTCGACCGAGAGGTCTATCGACGGATTCAACTCGGCTGGGCAGCGTTCGGGAAACTACGACACATCTTCTCGTCAGACATACCTCAAAATCTTAAAACGAAATAGTACAACCACTGCATGTTGCCAGTGATGACTTACGGATCTGAGACGTGGTCCTTCACTGCTGGCCGTATGAGGAAGCTCAAGGTCGCTCAGCGAGCTATGGAGAGAGCTATGCTCGGGGTTTCTCGGCGTGATAAACTTAGAAATGAGTATATCCGCAGTAGAACCAGAGTGACCGACATAGCCCAACGGATTAGTAAGCTGAAGTGGCAGTGGGCCGGCCATATAGCTCGAAGAACCGACAACCGATGGGGAAGAAAGGTTCTCGAGTGGCAGCCTCGTACCGGTAGGCGAAGTGTAGGGCGACCCCCCACGAGATGGAGTGACGACCTGGTAAGACATGCAGGAAGTCGATGGATGCAGGTGGCTCAGGACCGTGCTTTGTGGCATTCCTTGGGGGAGGCCTATGTTCAGCAGTGGACTTGTGAAAGGCTGTAATGATGAATGATGAAGTGGCCAGTTCTAAAAACTTTCAGTGTCGCTCTTGTATATATATTCCATGCATTAATTTTTTCAATTTAAGGTAATACTTTAAAAATTACCTAGATAAGTTTCCCATACAGGATCATTGGATGCAGAGTTGTTAGGGATGAGTTGCAACCGTGACAGAGTTCCGTAATGAGTGTTACACGCCTTATTTACGACCTGAAAAAAATATAACTTCAATTATTAGTAGTTGTGGAGCGACCACCCACTAGTTCCAACGACGTTCTAGTAAAGTAGGTATAGAAATTTTGTAGGTGTAAGTACCTAAGTGGCTTAAAATCTTGTTTAATGTTCTGTAAGGATAATGATGATTATTTCCTTGGTGGTAAAGCTGTTTTTGTGATTACGTAGGATATATTAGGGTAGATAGATACGCTTTTAACAATTTCTTAGCAGTCATCTATTCATCTGTGGCCATGTTTGTTTGAAGTTGGTTGCAAGTGTCCAAAGGGTACAAAACTAAACTGCATTTCACTCCGCAATAGGCACCAACTTCAAGTGTCTTAACAAATTAAATTTAAAAAATCATTTAATACCACTTTGTAGAGTGCTTTGCAGCACTATCGCTCGCATCGCTCGTGACCGTACTGAGTCGTCGCGAAATACTGTCATGAAACTTCAAGTTTTGAGAGGGAAGTTATCAGTAAACCAAATCCTGAACGAATAATACTATGGCAGCTATCAGGCTGGCCATCTTATTGATTGTGTTAAATATATTCAATATGCAATATTACATATCAATCTTCATAATTAATAGCAATACGAATTTATTTCAAATTACCTGCATTAATTTTAAAATCGAGTTATGATAAAAAAGAGCCTACACTTGATACAGCTCTGGCAGTTAAATATATACAGTGTTGCTGAGCAGGTTAAGTCTATTGTGAAATAAGATTGTTCAAAAGATGGTGAGTGAAGTAAAATACAACTTAAAGTTGTCAGTGAAGTAAAATATAGTATGTTACATATAGCAATATGTAAGTGTAAATAAGCAACGAATACAGTGATTAAACAGTTAAGTTGTAGTTTTACTGGAGAAAAGCTCGCATTTGCCACTCCCATATTAAAAAACAAGCGTGGTTCCCACACAATAATACCTGCAGTCGCAGTGGTCCCGCCGCCCGCACCACGGGCCCGGCGGCGCCCAGCACGGGGGCGGGCAGCGCCGGGGGGCCTCCCCCCACCGCCGCCCCCGCAGCGCTCGCAGGCCCCTCGCCGCCCGCGCCCACGCCCGCCCCCGCGTGCGCCTGCACCTCGTCAGCCCGCGGACCCGGAAGACCACCACCGCCACGCTTCCGAAGACGCTGATCCAAAGCACTGCCACAAAACAACCAATAAACTTATGGTAGGGCATTTTTAGCGGTCTTCATAAAAGGGAGGTGACTATTTTTTTTTGTGAGTATTTTACGCGATAACTTTCTTTATATCAAATATACTATACCTCAAGCATAAAATGAGGACCCATTTAAATTAGAAACAAAAGGAAATTAAGTTTTTGATAACTTATTGTTTAAATGTTTTGTGCGAAGTACATTGTGTGTTTGAAACGTTCTCGCACTTTACTGTAATATCAATTTAGTTCCAGTGTCTGTTGGAAATGTTTCAAGTTGATTTCCAACAGACACTATTTGTACGCACGATATCAAGAACAAGATAACAATAATCTGTACATGCACACAAGAGCCTGCACATAGTGGTCTGTCTGGCTTGTACATAATACTTTTAGATGAAAAATCCAAAAGTATTATGTACAAGCACGTATTTAAAAATTGCCGTTTGTGGGTTGAATCCTTTTATATAACAACGCCCATTTGAAGTTTTTAAAAACCATTATGTGTGCATTTTATTCTTCTATTATTCAAAAGTCAACTATTATTTTTTAAAGTTTGGACTGTTATTCAAGTAGTGGCTTGATTTTAATTACAATTTTGAACGTATTCACTGTAAAAATCGAGTCAATAAGACCTAGCCTACTTAGACTTATCATATATTGACACGTTTTTAACCCTTAGTTTTACTTGAATCCTTTTTGTGTAACAATTGTCATCCGATATGTATACATTATAAAAATATACACTTTCTGTAGTAACCAAACGATCAAAAAATTTAGTCTGATAACCTTTTCCCCCTTTTAAGAAGTCGCTTATAAACTAATAGACAAATTCGTTTGCGTACTACTCGTACATTCGTTCCACTCATAAATTGACATTTTCAATATGTTTGCAACCAATTAAAACAATAAACAATTATACATGAAAACTATACTGTGCAAATTCTACTCTTTACTAAACTCTCTTACTAAATATAAAGACAAAAGATATTACTAAATTAATAATTTCGTAAAAAGCTAATACAAATACAACATATAAGGGAAAAAAGTTTAATCTTACTTGTCGTTGGTCTTGCTGCTCTGAGATATGGCATGGTTGCTGACATTGGGATGTATGATGATATCATCTCGGCGCTCTACTCGTATGCGAGATTTGCTCTGTGAGGACGTGCTGAAGCAGTTTTCTGGAGCACCAGGCTGAGATGCTAACGACTCGCTGTTAAATGAATATCAGATTTATAAAAATTGGATAAGATATTCTTTCAGCTGACTGAAAAGTTAGTAAATTCTTTGTGGCTTCAATTAAGGATAAGAGATTAACTGCATTCTTAATCGAGGATAGATGTAGGTGTCTATGGACCACAGCCATAGTATCCACTTACCAGGTGGACTGTGTACTCTTTTATTATCCACTCTATAGAAAAAAAGAACCACCGATGGAGAAAAAGGTTCTGGAGAAGTAGCTTCGTACCTAAGTATATTGAAGAACATTACCCCCACTTTAGATGGAGTGGCAACCTGATGAAGCGTCTAAGTAGTCAATGTATTCTTTAAGATGGCTCAGAATTATGATTTCTGCAAATTTATGGTGGAAGGGGCCTATGCTCATCAGTGGTCTCGTGAGGGGCTGTAATGATAAAAGTACCAGGAGCACATAAGGTAGAAGGAGATGCATGACTAACTTTGCGTCCGCGTGAGTGAGCGGTATGAAGACGGGCGTGATTCTTCGCTTGCCATCGGACGTTCGTGTCTCGATCTGTCTATCAATGGGACGTACTGGGGTGCTTATTAGGGCTCCGCTCGGCGTGACACTAATTCCGCTACACACTGGAGGTGTCGTCGCTGGAACGCTCTGTGGAATAATTAAGCAGATCAGTGTGTCATGATCATTGTCTTTCACTTAGATGTATCCATGGTTGGACATAGTCTTTATCTAATCTGGGAGATGTAATGAATCTGACTGTCACGGGCTAAAGATGGAAATAATGATAATGAGATCATGAATCGGGCATAAAATATAAACTCACTTGTGACTTTTCGCTTTTGGGTGTGATTTCTTCCTTGGCGGCTTCTTTCTTAGCCTCCTGCTTTTCCCTTGCCAATAGAATTTCTGGACACTCGACGAGCAAGTTTGATGTCAAATCACCACCAGACTCATTTATTAAACATTTCCCGTATATCTTTTCGTAGAACGCATTCTAAAAACAAAATTTTAAAGTTATTCTATATACTACACATAACTGGGAACAGGCCTCCTCTCGTTTTTGAATAGGGTTATGGAGCAATGAATGCATCCACGACTTTTTCTGCCACTAGAATGTGAGGTATAATATTTGATAGATTTCATAGCGGGTAAGTTAATTTGTTCGGAAAATGTAAAGGTTATTGTTTCTTTCTGCACTATTAGCTATATTTTATATTAATAAGATTAAAATAAACCAAACCACAGATATTCATAAAAGTAGAAAAATTAAAAAAAATTTAAATGTGCAAAAAATTTAAAGAGCAAACCACTGACGCACTGTTTTGTATATTAATATAATACTCTAGAAACTGATACACTTTTATTAAAATCCAACTTCTCAATGAAATTACTGCAGAAAATTATTAACCCTCATCAAGCACAGTGGTACTACTATATTACGTATTGGTGAACTTTGCATGTCGCCGAAATATTTATATTCATCAGACATGCGGGTATTCCTACGATGTTTTCCCCTTACGAACTTCGTCGTAGGGTATGTGGTAAATCAGCATTTTAAATTGCAATTAACAATTTCTTTGGCACCGGTGGGAACAACTAGAGTTTTTTTTTATAGGATAAGGGTGACAAACGAGTACACAGTCCACCTAATGGTAAGTGGTTACTGTGGCCCGTAGACATCTACATCTATCCTCGATTACAAATCAAAATGCGTTGTCACCCGCGAGGACTACGATGGAATGGCTCGTTTCCAGTAAAAGGGGTCTCCGGTTCTCTACACTCCCACCATACGAAACACAGCAGCGTTAAGCTGCTATTTTACGCTGGTATTCTGTGAGAGCGTGGTCCTTCCCCGGTCGAGCCGACCCATTCGTGCTACAACTATACTACTAATATAGCTGCAGCATGGCTCTACCACGTAAATACGGCAAGTGCTTTGTATAAAATAGTATTTATTAACTAGAACATGACATATCATTAATATAATTAATAGAATCAGGCGTTACTTTGCGTAAATCCATTATATAAAAGCTTTTAGAAAAATTTACTTCGCAAATATCCGCGTTATAAAATAAAATGATGTGTCTTACCTAATATGAAGAGCACCTCTCGCCGCCGCATATCATTTTATTTTATAACGCGGATATTTGCGAAGTAAATTTTTCTAAAAGCTTTTACATATCATTAAATTAAAGGCTTGAAGAAGCGTTATAGTGGCGTCACTGTGGCCCACTAGTGATTTTCGTGCAATATATGGAAGAGCAGTACTATAGTTACTATCGAGACACGCACAATACATATTCAATTTGCACATCACTAAAATTAACTAAATCGTTATAGACGCACGCCTACTGCGCCACAGTCGGACCATTGTCGCGCTTCTCTATGGTAGCGCCACTGCACCGCTTCTACACGCCTCTAATTTGGAGGCGCCCTTATAAAAAAGCATGGCTAACCTTTTCTTCAAGTGTGAGGGGTGTGCCAATCTCTTTGTTGGTGAATTGTATGCATGCAACAGTGCCATCTGAACTACAGGCTAATAGATTTAATCCTGAAACACATCAAAAATATTAATTAAGCTATGACTGTAAACAAACTTATGTAAACTATATTTTAATTAATAAAATTGGCCTGCATAAGAAGATTCTTGATTACCCTTTCTGTTTCTTGTCTGACATAGTAATATTTGCAGAACATATTTCATTAATGTTTAAAATGACAACCACTAAATTAATGGTGAAGTTAATAATGCTATATCTGAATTAGTGCACCAGATTAACATAATGTGGTCGAAGGCTGAGCTCAAAGCCATAGAGCATACCGTCTGAGCTCCAGGATAAGTCGAGCACGCTGTCGCTGAACAGGTCATGCACCACCACCAGTGGCCGCTTCAGTGACGTGAGCCAGATGGAAAGCGCGCGGTCGCGGGACCCCACCGCCGCACAGCAGCACTTCTTGCCTTCCTTCACGAAGATGTTACTATTGAAGCGCTGCAGACATATAAAAATATTCACTCTATTTTTATACTGATTTTTGATAACTTTATAGGTGGTAGTGCCACACTGCAGCTATATCATGAATGTAACACGAGTGATTCGGCTCTACAGGGATAAGACCACGCTCTTACAGAATACCAGTAAAATTGCAGCATTAAGCTGCTATTATAGCAGCGTAAGATATCAGGTATGGTGAGTATAGAGAATCAGATACCCTTTTTATTGGAAACGAGGCATTATATCTTAGTCCTCAGGAGTGACAACGCTTCTGTATTTTGGTTCTTAAATGAGTATAAATGTAGATGTCTTTGTGCCACAGCATCCACTTACCATCAGGTGGTATCATCAGGAGGTCAATATTTCGATATTTCTCTACCCATAATCAATCACTGACTTAAAAATCGTTTTTTTTTTAATAAAAATCGAATGTTTGAATGTTATGTTAGATGTTTTTCGAATAAAAAATGGAACTATTATAGATGTAAATAAAAATAAAAATTTTTTTCGAAGTTATTACTGTCGTCACAAATAAATAGTAATATATATATATATATATATATATATATATATATATATATATATATATATAATATTTTTATTACCATTTATATCTTATGTATTTTATTTCGATGTGCTACAATTTTTTTTTTGTTATTTTAGTTTAGTATTAACATATTACCTTTTTATTACACCTACTTCATTATATCTCTGCATCATCCCAAGGTAGACTGGTAGAGAATGCCTTAGGCATTAAGTCCGCCTATATACCACATGTGTATATGAAGTTTTAAATAAATAAAAATAAATAAATAACAGTACTACGTACAGAAGTTCCACTCCTTTGATGTTAACTGCTTGCCGTCGTTTTAGTAGCCTACATAGTTATTATTAATCAGATAAATTGCGCACGCAAACTTTTTTTTACTTCTTATAAGCCAGTCCCTGACCACAATCCTACCTGGTGGTAAGTGGCGATGCAGCTTTAGATGGTAAATCGCACTGTCTTAGCGTAACAAAAGCCCTCTTCAAAACGCCAAGATTGTATTCGGACGGAAAGATAGACGCCGACAAATTATTCCACTCCTTTGCTGTACGCATTACAAAAGACGAAGCAAACCGTTTGGTTCTAATGCGTGGAATATCGACAACAAAGGGCTGAAGACCCACCTACCGCCTGGTTGTCCGATGGTGTAAAGGAGAGGGAGGAATTAAAGCGTGTAATTCCTGCGCACAATCACCAAAATGCATCCTATAGAATACCGAGGGAATGGCTAGTCTGCGCCTGTGCTCGAGGCTGACAAGATTAGTTTCAACCAAATCAAGGTCACCAATCAGCCTCTAAGCACGTCTCTCCACTGGGTCCAACGCTGCCAGGTGGCATTTTACAGCACCAGACCATATAAGACAGCAGTACTCCATGCACGACTGGACTTGTGCTTTATATAATAGGGGCTACACATGATCACTTTTAACTGTCAGTTTTGACTAACCAGTTTTAACTGACAGTGAAAACTGACGTCCTTTGCACCCACACACGTTCAGTTTTAACTGTTCTCTTTGACCACAAACAACATTACCATCTCAAGATGTCATCAGCCGGCGACGACGCTTTAGCCGTGCTTGGTTTATTATTAATTTTAAAAAATAAAAATAAAAAAATATACGCAGAGTGGTGTAAAGAATGGTTTAAAAAAAAGGAAAATTTATTCCCATATTAATTTATTAACCGAACTAGGAGGAGCTAAGTAGGAGCCAAGGTGAGCGGGCTCCTTTTAGCGGTGAAAAGACACGCTTGTGTTTTGGAGGCGTTAAATCTCACGAGATTGGCATCGCCCCATTCGTAGACTGCCTGTAGTGTGAGACTCACACGTTCTACCATAGCCTCTCTTTCTGACTGGATTTGATCCCGAATGGCCCGGGCACGTGGTCGCTATCATCTGCATACCCATAAATACCGGTAATGTGCAGATCATTTATATGCAGCAGGAAGAGAGTTGCGGAGAGAATGGACCCCTGAGGAACACCGGCGTCCGTTACTGTGGCGACTACCACAATATCGGATGAGCAGCCATTCACGACGACCCGGAGAGACCGTTCACTCAAAAAGTCCTTCACCCAGACAATCGGGCCGGAGAATAAGCAGTACGCTGAAAGCTTGTCCAATAGACTAGCGTGCCAAACCCTGTCAAAGGCCTTTAAAACATCGAGGGAAACAGCAAGTGCTTCACCACTGTTTTCGAGGGCTTCTCCTCATATGTGAGTGGCATACGCTAGAAGTTCCCCAGTTGATCGATTTCGGCGAAACCCGTACTGGCGATCATTGAGGAGATCATTTTGCTCTTGGTATGCCATGAGGTGAGCGTTCAATTATTCAATATAAGCTCCATAATCTTACAGAGTATGGAGGTAATTGAATTTGGCCGATAGTTGTCAGGATCGGTACGGCTATCATTTTTAGGCACAGGCTGCACATTGGCCAGCTTCCAAGATTTGGGCACTATTCCAGTCCTGAATAAGAGGCGGAATAAGAGTGTCAACACAGGAGACAACTCAGATGTACAGACCTTTAGAACTATAGCTGGTATACCATTAGGTCCACTAGCTTTATTTACGTCTAGACTTCGCAAGGTTTTAAGAACCTCCTTGTTGGTGATACGGACCTCTGATATAGAGGTACCGCAGTGAGTTAATTGAGATGGTACGTGTCCAGACGCGTAATTGCAAGCAAAAAGAGAAACAAATAAATCCGCTTTCTCTTTAGGCGCATGCGCCAGTGAGCCATCTGGTTTAACCAGCAGAGGCAGTGTAGACCGACAGAAGTTTGTTTCGACCGCTTTGGCGATAGACCAAAAAGCTCTACTGCCATTGGTTTTGTACCGATGCGTTTAATGCGATTGAAACTGGTTTGGTGTAATGCCTTTTTGACTTGGCGGCTTGGTTAAAGGCTCTCTTCTTAAGACTAACCATCCGGAGCTTTGCGGTCTCGAGCATCGACCCAGGATACACGAGCGCACTCGGCGTGGAACCATTGGCGAGCTTTACCACCAATAGACACGTCATCAAAGGGGATGAAATACTCCATCGCTTGACGTATCACATCGGTTATATCATCGGCGCAGCTCGACGAGTTTTCAGACGAGAAGCAGACCTACTGCCAAAGATAAGATGAACAGAAATACCGCATCTCATCCCAATCACTCGCCGCACACCGTGGAATGGGAACAGCCAGTCCTGATGACAGGCATTAAAGTTCCCCAGAAAAACCAACTGTGCATTAGGGTACCGATTAGAGCCACATCAGAGGCTTCACAGAGGTGTTCAAACAGCCTAGTTGTCTCCTGGTCACCACTGTGCGATCGGTAGACACAAGAATAAATAATTTTATCCATTCCTGTGTCTATCAATACCCAGATCATAGAGAAAGTAGGGTCTTCGAGGTTACTGAGACGCTTACAGCAGATGTCGTTGCGGACGTAAACACAGACTCCGGTACGCTGATGGAAATTATGCTTCAATAAAGTTCCCAGCGATAAAGTTTTATTTAGCTCCAAAGCTAAATAAAACTTTATCGCTGCACGCGAGTGTCCTACTCGCGTGCAGCGCGCACTTTTGCTTTGCGGTAGAACCAGATCTATCCGATTAATATGTGTACGACATACTAATTGCAAAATGTTTATATCGAATAAATTAAAAAATTACTTTCAATAAGTATTATATATAATCTGTATTGAATAATTTTTTTTTCCATCCCGGAATTCCGTTTAGAATCATCATCATCATTTCATCATTACAGCCCTTCACAAATCCACTGCTGAACATAGGCCTCCCCCAAAGAATGCCACAAAGCACGGTCCTGAGCCACCTGCATCCATCGACTTCCTGCATGTCTTACCAGGTCGTCACTCCATCTCGTGGGGGGACGCCCTACACTTCGCCTACCGGTACGAGGCTGCCACTCGAGAACCTTTCTTCCCCATCGGTTGTCGGTTCTTCGAGCTATATGGCCGGCCCACTGCCACTTCAGCTTACTAATCCGTTGGGCTATGTCGGTCACTCTAGTTCTACTGCGGATATCCTCATTCCTAAGTTTATCACGCAGAGAAACTCCGAGCATAGCCCTCTCCATAGCTCGCTGAGCGACCTTGAGCTTCCTCATACGGCCAGCAGTGAAGGACCAGGTCTCAGTTCCGTAAGTCATCACTGGCAACACGCACTGGTTGTACAATTTCGTTTTAAGGTTTTGAGGTATGTCTGACAAGAAGATGTGTCGTAGCTTCCCGAACGCTGCCCAGCCGAGTTGAATCCGTCTATTGACCTCTCGGTCGAAGTTGGACTTACCTAGTCGGACTATTTGTCCCAGGTAAACATACTCGTCAACAACTTCGAGCTTAGTGCTCCCAACAACTACCGGCATAGGTGTGACATGGACATTAAACATGATCTTTGTTTTGTCCATGTTCATCTTAAGACCTATCCGTTGGGAAACACTATTGAGGTCATTGAGCATAGTGCTTAGGTCCTCCAGCGATTCTGCCATAAGGACTATATCGTCGGCAAATCGAAGGTGAGTGATGTACTCGCCATTGATGTTGATACCGTATCCTTTCCAGTCCAGAAGCTTGAAAACGTCTTCCAATGCAGCGGTGAAGAGTTTCGGGGATATGACGTCACCCTGTCTTACACCTCTCTGCAATTGGATAGGTTTCGTACTCTGGTTCTGTACTCGGATAGCCATCGTAGCCCTACTGTACAAGCACTTCAACACTTCGATATACCGACAGTCAACTTGGCACCGCTGAAGGGACTGCAGCACCGCCCAAATTTCGACGGAATCAAAGGCTTTCTCATAGTCCACATACGCCAGACATAGTGGCAAATTGTACTCTTCGGACTTCTGTACAACTTGCCGAAGTGTATGTATGTGGTCTATGGTGCTAAAGCCCTTTCGGAAACCGGCTTGTTCGGGAGGCTGGAAGTCGTCAAGTCTGCGCGCGAGACGATTCGTAATGACTCTCGAAAACAGCACGTAGACGCGGCTCAGAAGGGAAATCGGTCTGTAGTTCTTCAAGAGAGCGTTGTCACCTTTCTTGAAGAACAAGACCACCGCACTTCTGCTCCACGCCTCCGGTGTAATGCCACCATGCAGGACGGAATTAAAGAGCTTCTGAAGGACTTCAAGTACCGGTATTCCACCCGCTTTCAGAAGCTCCGCTGTAATTCCATCCTCGCCTGGGGCCTTACCGTTTTTAAGGTGCTGGAGAGCCATCCTAATCTCGCTCAGACTGACATCCGGGATATCTTCGGAATAGTGTCGGATGAGACTCGCTCTTGGATCGTTACTCACACTTGCGTGTGGCTCCAACGATGATGTGTACAGCTGCCCATAGAACCTCTCAATCTCACTCAAAATCTCAGGTGTCCCGGAAACGATGCTGCCACATTCTGTCTTCAGCTTTGACAGTTGGCTCTTTCTGGCAGACAGATCTCTGGCAAAGACTTTGGAGCCTTGGTTCCGCTCGATCGCTTCTTCAATACGAGCTGTATTGAAGTTGCGTAAGTCCCGCCGCATGCATTTGGAGATCTGTCTGTTCAGATGCCTGTATGCTGTCAAGTCTGTTGAAGAATGTAGCTTCATCTCCCGTCTAACAGCCATGAGATTAAGAGTGTGATCGGAGAGTTTTTGTGTTCTTCTGCGGCGGGTCTTGCAGAACTTAGCTCCGACCGCATGGACAGTTTCCACGAGCTTGTCATTCATATCGTCCACTTCATTGCAGTCTTCCAGGCACTGAAAACGGTTTTGTAACTCGAGCTGAAAGGTTTCGGGACTTTGGAACAGAGCACGAGGGGGACGGAGCGTTGACTTCATTAGACGAGACCTCTCCAACTTAACGTTTAGGTTCAGTGTGCCTCTAACCATTCGGTGATCGCTACCAGTTTTCACCCTCGCGATCACGGAGACATCACTGAACAGTTGTCGTCTGGTCGTCATAATGAAGTCAATCTCATTTTTTGTGGAACCGTCGGGGCTCAACCAGGTCCACTTCCTGTGGGGCCGCTTCTGGAAGAAAGAGTTCATCATAAAGAGTCCCTCTTTCTCCATGAAGTCGGCCAGCTGCTGGCCCCTTGGGTTCCGTTGCCCTATTCCAAATTTCCCTACTTTCAGCTCACCGTTCTCTCTTGTGCCTAGTTTTGCATTGAAGTCTCCCATTAACACCGTATATTGGGTTTTGGAGGAATGCATGGCTCTAGAGATATCCTCATACATTTCCTCCACCTCCTCATCGGGGTGTGCCGAGGTTGGTGCGTAAACCTGTATGACCTTCAGCGAATACCGATTGGTGATTCTGAGTATAAGGTACGCAACCCTCGTCGACACACTCCCGATCTTTACAACGTTGTTAACGAGAGACTTGTGGACGATAAATCCGACACCTCCTTGGGACAGATGGTCGCCCTCCCGGTGATAGAGCAAGTTGCCGGATTCGAGGATTACCGTGTCCTCCCCCTCTCTTCGGACTTCGGATAATCCTATAATATGCCAGCGCAACTTGTCTATCTCTTCTTCCAGCTCCACAATCTTCTCGTCAGTCCTCAGGGTGCGTGCGTTGTACGTTGCCAGGTCGAGTCGTCTAAGGTGGCAACCGAACCTCCACCGGAGATTCTTAGCACCCCCTGCCCCGCCATTACCATGGTCGCCACCGTAGCCAGGAATAGCGGGGCCGCCGGGGACTGGGGGCCGTTTCTTTGTTACTGTCATTCATAGGGGGTATTTGCCATAGTTGCCACGCTTGGCGAGCGGGTTGGCAACCGCAGTTTTTTTATTGTAATTTGGCTATTATCAGGAAGATGCTGCTGCCCATCTCCTGCCTGTTTCCCTTTGTCGCCTTTTACGACACCCACGGGAGGATATGGGGTAGTGGATATTCTTGACCGCCACTACACGGCCCCTACAATTAAATATACTATATAGTAAACAATAACTATTTCGAGGAGTATTTTATCAAATATTTACAAAAAACTAAAATACTATATATACGTAAACAGCGTTAAAAAAACTTTAACATTCAATCACCTAGAACGCACTAGCCACGACTGCGTTCTGCCCCGGGGGCGCCTCGCGATTGTAGGTAATTATTTCATGAGGCAGGTAACAAGAGTGACAGAGGCCTGCTGTAGTTAAAATCAGTCAAAAGAACATCGACATATAATATGCATTTAAATAGTATAAAACATTACTTACAGCACAAGTGACAGCTTTGCGGTGGCCCACAAAGTCTTTGTCGCATCGCCAGCCGTCTCGCTCGACGACCTGCGCTGTGGGCCCTCCACCGTTCATAGCATGCGCGGACAACACATACTGACCGTCTGGTGACCATGATAGTCGCAACACGTGAGTTGTACCTGCACAATAGAAAAGGCAAAATAGATGTTTATATTTTATCTTATTCATCTGCCCAAAGTAGACCTGATATGGTACTACCTCACGATTTACTGTAGTACTCTAAGTGTGACCTTGGTAGACAGATTAACGACCAAACTAACACATTTGATGTGGCTCCATGTTACCAGCGTGGATAGTTCACATCTGATATATACAAGAGTATAACACAATCTTTATTATTACTATTATTACTGCCATTTAATTGTTTCAAAAGAAGTCAACAGGTTCATTCAATAATTTCTTTTACTACCCTTTACAGAGACCTTTTATCAGTCAACAAGGCATTTCATGTTACTGTTTAGGGGTTGCAACACATACTTAAACATTAATTAGTGTTTTTCAGATTGTGGTTGTGTATGGGTCAGAGAATCTTTTTAACATCTAGAGGATTGTCTTGTCTATAATAATAATGCGATAAAAAAGCTCAAATTTTAATATACAATAAAAAAGCTTTCAAAATAACACTTGCTATTAAGTAACAACCTTCTTTGCGGAGCATAAGCTGCCTCTCATTTTTGAAGAAGTTTTTAAAGCAGGATAGGTTCTGCCGTACTGTCCTTACACATATTGGCAGAATTTACATGTCATTGAAATATTTTTACTATCTTAGAGTATGTACGTAGTATCCTACGCTACCAAGTTTGCAAATCAGTTTTCAAAATTGCACCCAATCATTTTAGAGTTGCAGTTTTTGAGCAATGTGGTTCATTTATCACCTAATTAAACTTTTTGTGAATTAGTAAGCCCACTAAAGAGAGTGCAAACACAAATTACACGTATATTTATCTTTTTCAAGGAACTGAAACAATTTAAAGATGTGATGCTTAAACCTACCTCCACATTCCTCAAATGGTTCAGTTATAACAGTTTCTTGCGCCCAATCAGCTGTTTTCCAAACTCTCAGTGACTTGTCATCTGATTGTGATGCTAAGTATTTGCCCACCTGAAGGATAGATTTAAAAAAATGTGGATATATTTTGAAGTGTTATGTTTCATAAAAACTTGGATTACCTTCAGCAAAATAACAATATTGTTAAACTATTCATTTGAGTAGATTAGAACACTATGTTTGGCTCTTAACAAAATCTCAATTTCATTATTATTACTATTTTTTTCATTACAAAAGCACAAATTAGGAAATTCTCCTGAGTTGTAGAGGTAACCATGACCTGGAAAATTATTTGTAGTCAATACAAATACTTCTTTCATGCAGGATTCAAACTTGGATCCTGCAGTATCGTTACCAAATATTTTTCCACTGCAATACAGAGCCTTTTTTCCATATTCCATTTACAGATACACAAAAATACATGTTCTGTACAACTTGGCCAAAACAATGAGGGCATCCACGAATTTTTCTGCCATCAGGGCGGCGCCACTTTACGATGAGGTAAATCATTTCACAGATTTCATAGTGGGGAAGATAATTTCTTAGAAAAATGTAAAAGTTAATGTTTATTTCTTTATTATTATTTATATTTTATATGAAATAGATTAAAAACGGTAATTTATTATATTTTAGGTATTTTTTTAATTAACGGTGGTAGAGCCCCGCAGCAGTTTTTTGCTGTTGCACGTATGGGCAGGCTCGAGCCGGGTTGGTACCACGACCTCACAGAATACCGGCGTGAAGTAGAGGCTCTGCTTCTGCGTTTCGTCTGGTGAGTGCAGGTGGCCGGAGGCCCAATTCCCCCCCCCCCCCCCATCAACATGGTAGCGGAATTACAAAGTAGACTACCCCAGGAGGGTACCAGTACCCCTGGAGAATCCCTCGCTGAGCATCCACGACCATGTTATTCCAATCCTGAGCGTGGGTGCTCAGGCTGCCCCGCGTATTCTGGGGGGGGCAAAATTCCGCTCAAAAACAAAACTGCTTGGGGCAAACTGAGCAACAATACCAAGGCGACCCCTGCCACGCTATCCGTGAATTTCTGCAACATCAGGGGACTTCACTCTAACCTAAACGCCGTCCACTACCATCTCGAGACGGCGAAGCCGGCCTTGCTCTTTCTGACCGAGACGCAGGTTTCCTCTCCGGCTGATATTTCGTATCTCTCCTGCCCGGGGTACAAATTGGAGCACTCCTTTGTGCCTCGGGCTGGAGTTTGCGTGTATGTCAGAGAGGACATCTGTTCTCGACGCCTCGGCAGTCTTGAAGGTTCGGACCTGTCCATCCTTTGGCTACGCGTAGACAGCGACGACCATCCGCGCGTCTACGGGTGCCTCTATAGGTCCCATAGCGGTAATGCCGAAACAGACCGACTCATCGACCACGTCCAAATGGCTACAGATTCCTTGCTACAACAGGTCCCATCCGCAGAGATCGTGATCCTTGGCGATTTTAACGCCCACCATGCAGAATGGCTCGGTTCACGTTTAACCGATCATGCGGGGAGATCTGTTCATGACTTTGCTTTGGCATATGGTCTGACACAACTGGTTACTTCGCCTACGCGGATTCCGGATGTGGAGGATCATACACCTTCCCTGTTGGACCTTCTGCTGACCTCTCATCCGGACGGATATCAGGTTTCCGTCGATGCCCCTCTCGGCTCTTCGGACCATTGTCTGATCCGGAGTATGGTGCCACTCACGCTCCCTTCGCGGTTGCGTTCTGCAGGTTGCCGCCGTGTTTGGCATTACAGGTCGGCAGATTGGGACGGAATGCGGTCTTTCTTTGCATCCTACCCATGGGGGCGGGTTTGCTTCTCGCCGGATGATCCCAGCGCTGTTGCTGACTCTGTCACTGATGTGGTGCTACAGGGAATGGAACTATTTATTCCATCATCTGTGGTACCCATCGGAGGCAGATCTCAGCCTTGGTTTGGTCGCTCCTGTAAGACTGCATTGCGCAGAAAGCAGGAGTGTTATCAAGCCTGGGCTGCGGCTTCGGTGACTCGGGATGTAAACACCAGCACACTTAAAAAGAAGTATAACTTCGCCTCCAGGTCCTTCAAAAGAGTTATTGCCAAGGCAAAGTCAGAGCACATAGGCAGAATTGGCGAGAAACTAGTTCGCCTTCCTTCGGGAACCCGTGCATTCTGGTCTCTCGCCAAGGCTGTCCAAGGGAATTTCTGTAAGCCATCACTACCATCTCTGCACAGGGAGGACGACTCACTGGCCCACGACGCAAAAGAGAAGGCCGACCTTTTAGGCTCCCTTTTTGCGTCCAACTCGACTGTTGATGACGGGGGGAACACACCGCCGACCATCCCACGGTGTGAGTGCTCTATGCCGGATATGCTATTCTCACAGCGCTTGGTTCGCAGAGCACTCCTCTCCCTTGACATCCACAAGTCGAGTGGGCCTGACGGAATCCCCCCAATTGTGCTGAGGACGTGTGCTCCGGAGTTGGCACCGGTTCTAACGCGTCTTTTCCGGTACTCCTACTCCCATGGCGTTGTCCCGAACTCATGGAAGACAGCTTTTGTCCACCCGATCCCTAAAAAAGGCGACCGCTCAGACCCGTCCAACTATAGGCCTATCGCGATCACCTCCTTGTTCTCCAAAATAATGGAATCCATTATTAACTGCCAGCTCATCCGGTACCTTGAGGATCACCAGCTGATCAGTGACCGCCAATACGGTTTTCGTCGGGGTCGATCAGCTGGTGATCTTCTAGTCTACCTGACCCATAGATGGGCGGAGGCAGTAGAGTCCAAGGGGGAGGCGTTGGCCGTTAGTCTGGACATTGCGAAGGCCTTCGATCGGGTTTGGCACAAAGCGCTTCTTTCGAAGCTCCCTTCCTATGGGCTTCCCGAGAAATTGTGCAATTGGATCACCAGCTTCCTTGCAGATCGGAGCATCAAGGTCGTTGTAGACGGTGCATGTTCTGACTACAAGCCTATTAACGCTGGTGTTCCACAAGGCTGTGTGCTATCACCAACGCTGTTTCTTCTGCATATCAATGATATGTTGCTAACTGGTAACATTCATTGCTATGCGGATGACAGCACTGGTGATGCTCTATACACCGGCCGGGCCAATATTTCTCGGGAAAACGTCGCCGAGTACCGGAACAAACTTGTGTCTGAAGTCGAGTCTTTGCTGGACAAAGTCTCGGATTGGGGGCGACTAAATCTAGTCCAGTTTAATCCTCAGAAGACACAAGTTTGCGCGTTTACCGCTAAAAAGAACCCCTTTGTCGTATCTCCTCAGTTTCAAGGCACTCCCCTTCTTGCCTCAGCCAGTATCGGTATCCTCGGAGTCGACATATCGAGTGACGTGCAGTTTCGTGGTCACTTGGAAGAGAAGGCCAAATTGGCCTCTAAAAAGCTTGGCGTGCTCAGCAGAGCGGGACAGTATTTCATGCCGGCACACCGCCTGCAACTTTACAAGGCGCAGGTTCGGCCTCACATGGAATACTGTTCCCATCTCTGGGCAGGGGCTCCCCAGTGCCAGCTCCTTCCACTTGACCGCATCCAGCGCAGAGCGGCTCGAATCGTCGACGACCGAGCCCTTTCCGATCGGCTCGATTCATTGGCACTGCGAAGAGATGTTGCATCTCTTTGCATTTTCTTTCGCATCTACCATGGGGAGTGCTCTGAGGAATTGTTCGGATTAATCCCAGCCGCCAAATTTCATGAACGCACATCGCGGCAGAACTCCCGATACCATCCACACCATCTGGATGATTGGCGTTCCACCACTGTGCGATTTAGAAGATGTTTTCTTCCTCGCACGACTTCCTTGTGGAATCGATTACCATCAGCGATTTTTCCGGACCGATACGACTTAGGGACCTTCAAGAAAAGAGCCTACTCCTTTTTAAAAGGCCGGCAACGCATCTGCAATTCCCCTGGTGTTGCGGTTGTTCATGGGCGGCGGTAGTCACTTACCATCAGGTGAGCCGCATGCTCGTTTGCCCCCTCTCCTATAAAAAAAAAAAAAAAAAAAATAAATAAATAAACCAAATTATAAATATAACTAAAGTTTAAAAATAAAAAAAGAGGTATAAAGTACAAAAAATTAAAGATCAAATCGCTAACACATTGTGTTGTGTATTAATATAACACTCTAGAAACTGATAAACTACTATATATAACTAATTTCTCAATTAAGTGACATTGTGTAACAAAAGACTTCACCTTAGTCACTACAAGCGACATCTGGTGTGTGGAAGATTATTAGCCCTCATAAGGCGCATGACAGGATAGTGTTTTTGGTGTAATACTTTAATCCTCACGCTTCCTCTGGTGACCAATCACTCTTACGGTGTTCCCTTCGTAGTTCTAACGATGTCTTAGCTATCATGCGACAAATTGTTTTGGTCACATTGTACAATAACAAATGTTTAGAGCAATATATATGTTATTACCTATATATTTCATAAATTATAATGGCAAAACGTCGTTCAGCCACCATTTCTTTTCAAATTCTGTACTACTTAACTAATGAAATACAATTTCTCTAGAATTTTAAATTAAACAAATTTCAACTTTACAAATTTAAATAATTTAAGTCATAATCTCTCTAATATTATACATAGACTGCACTAAAAGTATCGGGAATGGAATATTTCCACTGTTCCTGTCATATTAAAATCTTTTTAATTGAAAAGTCCTTGGTTTTAAAAATCGAATACCATTTATTTATTTAAAAAAAGATTCTCAGTCTTGTCACAAGGTTTTGTCAAACTTGTTTAGTCGTTGAGAAAATGGAATTGACTCGAGAAAATTCAAGAGCGATGAATTATTATGACTTTCGAAATGGTTTAACACAAAAACAGTATGTTGACCGGATGATTTCTGTATTTGGTGATGAAGCCCCATCCAAAACCACAATTTATCGCTGGTTTGCTGAATTTCAACGTGGACGTGTCAAACTCAGTGATGATCCCCGTCAAGGTCGTCCAAAAACTGCAGTCACCCAAGAAAACGTTGATGCTGTGCGTAAGCTGATTGAGGAAGATCAACATGTGACATACCGCAAAATTCAGGCAACTTTAGACATTTGCATGAGTCAAATACAAATAATCTTGCATGAACAATTAGGTGTAAAAAAGTTGTTTTCCCGATGGATACCGCATTCGCTCTGTGAAGAGCAAAAAGCAGCTCGCGTTACTTGGTGCGTCAGAACTCTCGAAAGATTCCGCGCAGGATCCTCAAATGCTGTATACAACATCGTATCAGGTGACGAATCCTGGATAAACGCGTACGGACTCGAAACAAAAAACCAGTCACGAGTTTGGGTGTTCGAAAATGAGTTAAAGCCAACAAAAATTGTTCGTTCACGGAGTGTTGCAAAAAAAATGGTGGCCACGTTTGTCTCCAAAACCGGCCATGTTACAACTATTCCTCTTCAGGGACAAAGAACGGTTAATGCAGAATGGTATGCTAGCATTTGTTTGCCACAGGTCGTTTCTGAACTCCGTAAAGAGAACTGCAACTGCCGCATCATCCTCCATCACGACAAAGCGAGTTCTCACACCGCACAGAGAACAAAAGAGTTTTTAGAGCAAGAAAACATAGAATTATTAGACCATCCGCCGTACAGCCCCAACCTAAGCCCTAATGATTTTTATACTTTCCCTAAAATAAAGAATAAATTGTGTGGAGAGAGATTTTCATCACATGAAGAAGCTGTGGACGCCTACAAAATGGCCATTTTGGAGACCCCAACTTCCGAATGGAATGGTTGCTTCAATGATTGGTTCCATCGTATGGAAAAATGTGTCAAATTTCGCAGAGAATACTTCGAAAAGCAATAAATACATTTTTAAATAGTAATGTTGTGTCACTTCCTTGATTCCCGAAATTTTCAGTGCCGCCCTCGTATGTTATAATGTTTTCCCACTAGCATTTTCTGCTGCATTGGGGAAGCATTACACATTGATAAACATCTATACCCAGAACAAAATAATGGGTTTATCATTACTAACAATAGATTTACTAAATTATTATCATTCATAACTTTTGTCTGTGTCCAGTTTGTTTGTTCACATCTATTTCTTGGAAGAAATTATAAGTACAGTAGTGATAAAATTCAATTCCAATAAAACAATACATACTGGGTCCCATGCAACTCCTTTAACCAGGCCAGTATGACCATTTAACACACAGACCATCTCAGGAAACTTTTCAGCATTCCAAATGATGATGGTATTGTCCACACTGCAACTAGCCAGCCATTTATCCAGTGGTGACCATGCAAGATCAAGGACATCACCTGTATAAAAAACGCCAAATAAAAAATATATTAGCAGCAAATAAATTGTAACCAGATAGATTCTAAAACAAAGTGACCTTATAAAATGTATGTCATAGGTTAATAGTTTGACTGAGGAATAACAGGAGAATAATGGAGACTTGTTTAGCCCTCTCATCATAGAGAAAGCTGGTGGAAAAACTTACTTAAATAAATAATACTTCTTACTTAAATCTCATAACATTATGGACAAACCTCTGAAGTAAATAGTTATATAATAATATATTAATTCTCAAAATAAATACCAGCATGTCCTCTCAATGTTGATATACACCTCCACATCTCAGTCTTGTGTTTGCCAGGTGCTGATGGAGCTACACTTAGTCCCCACACCATAACAAGGCGATCATCTCCACCGGATGCTAGATATCGCCCACCATTGCTCCATCGAACACAGTTTACACAAGCTATAAATTCAAAATTACAACATTCAAATTTACAGCAAAAATAAATATATTCAAAATTTCACTTGTTCTTTAAATTAATTATTTTTAACTAAAAAATAAACTATACCTTAACTACACTTTAACATTCCACAAACAAAAATGGCAAAATTTCATTTTAACTTTTTTTCTAAATATTTTGTTACTATTATACAGATAAAATTCACTTTCACACGTGACAAATTTCATATAGCACCATCTATAATTTTTTACTGTAATAATAACAGCTATCTTTTGCGATGTACACGTTTAAACCGTAAGATATTGTATGATGACTATAATCAGCATGGACAGGTGAGGCAATAATTGTTTTTGGGAACTGCAGTCACCGTGGATGGTTGAGTAGTTATCTAATTAAAACTTAATGTTTGTTTAAAGATTTAATTATCATTTTCAAAATTTTTAAAATCTATTTAAAAACAAGCCTTTAGTTAGACAGAGAAACTTTAGTAAATGTATTTTTTCTATTTAAATACTTTATAATTAATGAACGGATATTACTTCATGCTATTTACAACATACAACAGCCGCGGTTAATGATACTAACCTAAGTGATTGTCCATTTGACAGAGCATTTTGGGTACATTAGGGTCTACCTCCACGGCTTCAAACAATACAGAATTTAAGTTCCAAACAACAACTCTGCCGGAGTCTCCTCCTTGTCCACCAGTAGCAAAACGCTTCCCCGTCGGATGAATATCAACAGAAAAAATTGGTTTATCTATAAAACAATTTTTTTTTTAGGAAACGTTAAATACAAGTAAATTGTTATATTCTTAAAATATTTATCATCACACACCATCGTGATTAACCCAACTGGGTTTTAGAAGCTTCATTTATATTGATGTTGGTTCGGGTTGAGTTAAAAATATGTTTATACTTAGATTTATTTATTTTATTGAAATGTTGTTGTTGTTTTTATTATTCGCTCGAGAGAGCAGGCAAAGGAACTAAGCCATACAGCCTTTTATTGAAATGACAATGACAGCGGTATACCGCCCGGAACTTTGAAACCACAGGCTAACTAGTCGATTCCACTAAACATAAAAACTTAGTTTTAAAACGCACACAAATGTTTGTTAACAAATTATGATCCGGTTAATAGGCAAATTACAAAACACTTTTTTTAATTTTATAATTTATTTGACGTAAGGAGTATCAACATTGAAGGAGCAAAATATTGAAATTAATTTAATTTTATTACTAAGTATTAAAAATAAATTAGTTTACGAGTATGAAAAAAAGCAAACAGTATTGCATTTTTGAACTGATTCTTTAGTATTTATATCAGTGACATTATTTCTTACTGCCATTACATACAGTTTGATTCACAGAACACAATTACTTGTTTCCTCATCTTCGCAACTGTAAAATAATAAAATAAAATACGAAGAATTGAAGGTGGAACTATAATCTCCCACTTGTTTTAGCCGTATAAATTATCACGCATTCGAATAATAGGGATCAATCTGTAATTCTAGGAGTCTCAAGTCATTATTATGGCCCTTTGGGCTAAAACATTACCTCCACACTGATATCCTTCCTAAGTAAGATAAGTAATGTGGTTCCGTTCCGGAAGTAGTTCTTCTAGCGTAAGCAAGGAAGGTGGTGTTACTAAGAGGCTGCCCTGCGTTATATTGTAATGACTAGTGTTGCTGTAACTTTGCCTACTTTGACGTTATCATGTAATTATGTCTTTCTCGTTACACCAATTTGTGATTGTGACTGGTATATTTTTTTTTAACGTTACTACCACACTAGGATTTTCTCCTGTATCGTGGAGGCAGTTTACAAACATAAATTGCACAAAGACTCTAGACCCGGAACAATTATTTACTATACAAATACTTGTTCCCTGCGGGATTCAAACTTGCGGCCCCCAGTGCAACAACTCATTGCCAAGCCTCTGCGCCACGGAGCCGTCAAAATATTTGCTCTATACTGAATGTGTAGTACTGTACGCTGTCTTATTCCTGATAATGATTAATTGCGTAAGCAAGAGAGCAAGTTGCACATCCGCTACACTTTTATTATTTTTAACAATTAACCTTCAGAGTAAATTCTAATACGAGAAAAAATCTTTTATATAAATAATTTTGAGAATAATTTCTAACGTCAGAAATGGAATAGTTGTTTAAAAATACATTCTTTAGAAGACTCAATTCTAAAAATGTAGTCTTCTAAAGAATGCATTGTGACCTGAATATAAACACAATAATTATTATCCTTATCGGCGTTCGGTGGATTGTTGATCCTGTAGTTCCATTTAAATAATATGTTGAAGTGGATTTTATCAAGTAAATCTGGTACGATTTTTGTAAACTGTCTAGGCATATGAACTATTAGTTAAAATGATGAAACAAGTGCTCCGATGGTGATATGAATTTCAAGGCATTTGATCCGCTTGGGCGGCTTTGAAATACTACGTTATCAATTATCCGCTGGGTCAAGGTGTCTTCAAAATCTTCTGAAAAATTCTCAATGCGCCGCATCAGCATATTATATATAATTTAGTGATTAAAATACACATCAGATAAGTCTGTTTAAACTAAGACCTTTGCCTACCCTTATTGGCAAATCGTAATAAAACGTAGTGATTATATTTAGCTGTGTCTCGTCAGCAGCACTAGTCAGGAGAGTTTTGGCGGGAAATTGACCGGCGGCGGTTTGCTGCTCCTGTATTATTGTTTAAATAATGGTTTGAAGTGGACTTTGATATGTAAAAGTGTTGCGATTTTGTGTATTAAGTGTCTACGCATGTGAACTATTAGTGGAAACAGTGAAACAAGTGCTCTGATGGTGATGGATTCTCAAGATAAGCTGTTTGTTTGCATAGGCACCTTTAGATACCATCGCCAACTATCAGCTGTCTGCTGGATCGAGTTGCCGCCAAAATCTCCCAAGAACTGCACAATGTGACGCATCAACATATTGTGAAGCAGTATACTATGAAGGAGTGGGGAAATTACAATAAACCGAATAAAAATACTTAAGACTTGGCCTAAAGGTCTAGATACCAGGCCATAAGCTCCAAAAAAAAAAAACTAGTCAGGAATTTGCATTTAGAAAAACCCAAAATTAGGGACTTTTTAGGTGCTAATTAGTTGCCAAGATTAAAAATTAGGTGCTCTAAAATTTTCACCGCAACGAACTGTTAATATTTGCGTTCGCAGCAAAACGTATCGCTAGAGGCGCGTGCATGTAGTCACATACAGAGAAAAACCGGTTTATATCAGCTCGGCCAGCGCTCAAACTCAGGCTGTACAATTTGCGTGCCGTGTCTGTTTTTGTTTCACGTTTTGATTTATTTAATAATAGCAAAGATAAAAGAATAATAGTGTTATGTTGTAATAGAAAAAGTGTAAAAATGGTTTACTGTTCGAACGAATGTATATAATTTCTTATTATTATTTATAGCTTAAGCATTATTGCTGTATTATAATGTAACCACTACAAAAGCACAAAAAATTTATGAAAAACAAAAAATATAGAAATAAAATATTTGAAGTAGTTTGAAAAAGAATTGAAATAAGGACAAATACTCGATAAATATGAATCTGAAGTGATTGAAATGATAAGAAACATTTACGGAGAAGGAACAAATGAGGAATAGACATGTTGTAAATAATTAAAATGCGGCAATTTAGTGAACTTTTCTTTAGAATACCGCAAACAAGACTGACGTACGGCAACTCAGATTTTTACGATGGCAACACTATCACTGTTATTTCATTTACGGTTTGCGCTTTGCGAGTGTATAAATTGTAAATTACAAATACTACCTACTAGGGATGGTCGATGTTGTAGAAACATCGATGATGACATCGATGTTGACATCGACAGCTCAACATCGATGTTCGATGTTTATCCTACTCAAAACATCGATGTTGCTCATTATCGATGTTTTTTTGAACATGTATTTAATAGGTTAGAATTAGATGAATAAAAAAATTGTCATGTTGTTTATGGTTTATAATTAATGAAATAAAAGAAATTAATAAGCAATGTAGTATAAAACCGGAATTAAAAAAAATTGCAAGAAGTTCACAAATATCTAATTCATTTGTTATATTGTCCAATATTTTTGTCGATTGATTGAAGGAATAGTAATTTTGACAAAGAAGTACCTTTCAATCTGTTTCTTTGTTAATAAAGAGTGGAGCCAGCTATTGAAAATAATTTAAAAATAAAATTTTGTACAACTAACTTAAGGAAAAACTATTGGTCAGACTTCTATGGGTCTAATTTATATGGGACCACATATGAAGCACCAAATTTCAAATAAAAAAAGAATCATCGAAATCGGTTCACCCAGAAAAAGTTATGACACACATTAAAAAAACCGGCCAAGTGCGAGTTGGACTCGCGCACCGAGGGTTCCGAACAAATTCGTTATATAAGTTTAAAATTATTAAAAATATTTTTATTATATGATGTAACTAAAAATTTTTGCTTTTCGCAATTTTTCCTTTATCTGTACTATAAAACGTTGCTTCGTACCAAATTTCAAGATTCTGAGTTCACGGGAATTACCCTATAGGTTTTGATTCCCTTGCGAATGTCGAAAATTTGCGGCATAAACGGCTGCATCTTTTGATTGAGTTGGCGTAGAAGTTTGATTTTTTCACAGTTCCATGGGACAGTAAACTTGAGTATTTGATATGAATTTCAGCTTGATACCTCCACGCATTTCTAAGAAAAAGGATCTTGACAGACAGACAGACAGACGGACAACAAAGTGATCCTATAAGGGTTTCGTTTTTTCCTTTTGAGGTACGGAACCCTAAAAAGAACATACAGTGGAATTGAGTACCTCCTCCTTTTTGAAGTCGGTAGATAACCGTTCAGATGGCGCTGATGTAGCGATTGTGGTCAAATATCTCACCGCAAATTTACTTTTTAATTTTAGATAGGTAGAATCGATAATATTGTTCTAAACGTGCATTGGATCGTGTTTAAGATCAATCATCGGGTTTTTTTTTAAAAAAACAACCGATAAAGAAACAGATAACCTACAACGACACCAATGGCAAACGAAATCAGTGACAACTGCGACATTATAGTTGACACTTGACAGTTAAATTTGATACCCCATAATGATATATTTTTAGATTATCGATGCGTTCAAGCATTCTGAATTATTCAAAATTTTAAATATTTTAGAAGAGATGCAAGATTTAGTTGATATTGATATCGCGGTTTCGCAAGTACCCAATAATCGATTATGGGTTTATTGATATCGATGTTTCGATGTTTGACATGTGGCATCATCGATGTTAAACATCGATGTTTTCATTCTTGACATCGATGATCATCGAACATCGATGATCATCGATCATCCCTACTACCTACATAAACATTAAACAACTTTATAATTTGTGATACTAATAAGTGTACTCAAAAAATAGAAATTACAACTTTATAATTTGTGATACTAATAAGTGTACCCAAAAAATAGAAATTAGAAAGTTCGATTTTTCAATATATTATACCATATTATCTCTCTTCTTTAAGTGGAAGAAATTCGAATTGCTAAGAAAAATAGATCGAATTTTTTTTCAAAATATCAAATAAAAATAAGCTTATAAGCTCCGAACTTTTGTTATTAAAATTTCCATCGGATTGTGACTATATAATTGAAAAGGTATGAGAGGGGCGGATACTTTAATACCGGCTCGTTTTTTAACCCTTCTCGGCCATTTGTGCGTGCTGATAACCTTGCTATGGGAAAGCAAGTTGAGTGTGCAACATTGTTTGCCGAAACAACACCACGGCAGTCACTTCCAGATATATCACAGGCGGTAAGTAATAATAATAACTATATATTCAACTATTATTCTTTTCTTATATTACCTTTTTATTTTTCTATTTACAGAAAAATAAAAAAGTAATATAAGCCCAGTTAGACGAATATACAATAAAATACCCGAAATTAATTATAATCTATCACCTCTTTTTGTCCCACGGGTGTTGTAAGAGGCAACCGTGAGGAATATGACAAAGATAGTATTGCTTTTAATAGATACCCATCATGATCTCTCTTACTCTATATGTAAAATACCCAAATAGTGAATTGAGACCAAATGGGAGAGGTTCTTGACCAGCAGTGGACTTCAGGAGCTGTTGAAGAATAAGGTGGTTAATTCTTTACCCTTTTATAAATTGCTATCTTGAAATACTTCTCGAATACTTAAACTTTTCTGCCGTCTTCCAAAAAGGAGACGGTACTCAATTCGACGCGTATGTTTTTTTTCTTTTATGTGTGTTACCTCATAACTTTTTACTGGGTGGACCGATTTCAATGATTATTTTTTTATATGAAAGCTGATACTTCTTGTGTGGTCCCATATGAATTTGATCAAGGTCAGACCAATAGTTTTTGAGTTATTTGAGTTATTCTTAATTACTTATATTGAAGTCGGCTGTATTAAATTTTCAATTTTTAATTATATATTTTTCATAACAAATATATTAACAAGACATTGCTTGTTGCATATGTTGCAGTTTTGTTATAGTATAAGGTTATAAACAGGCACATAGTCCATCTGATGTTAAGTGGACTCTGGCCCATAGATAGATACCTACTATTCCTACCTACCATCTATTCTCCATTGAGAATAAAAATTTAGATGCTATGTCATCCCTGAAGATTAACATAGAATGACTTGTTGCCAGTAATAAGAGAGATTCCGAGTGAGTATGACTGATGTACTTAATTGTGATGTCATTCTCATGGTTAGATACTCTTCTTGCTAGTTCTTCTTTAAAAATTTGTAAATATTTCTGTTGAGCTGGAGTTTGATCAGATAAGATCTTAATATTGCCTTGCAGTTTTTACGTAACAGCATTTTGACTGTTTCTGAAGACTCAAAGCAGACTTTGATGTTGCAAATCTTGAGTGCGTTAAACTTGCCTATGCGGAATATTTTATTTAACAGGTTTAGTGCAATCTCCGATCAAACTCCTGATTATAGCAACTACTTCTGTCATACCATGGGAATAGGCTTCATATGTGTTTGAGTCTTTAACACCAAGAACAACAATATTTTTTTCTCGAACCATACATTCTCTCATTTCTTGTATTATTTTTTCTTCACTGTTCGTTTGTTAAAATTCTTTGATTTTGGCCATTTCTGTTTCCAGTTTTTCATTAGTCATTCTTAATGCTGGTATCAGAATTATCAGCTTTTTTAATCATATGTGAGACTTTTAGTTTTTTAGACATTTTAGTACATTCTGTTCATTGCTAAGTTTATCCGTAGATAATTTTATTTAATTTAGTTTAGAATCAACTTCCACTAAATTATTGCGCATGAAACCTAATGTTTCTTCTGAAATCTGTGTCTTTGTGAATTTGGTCAGTAATGACGTAATTTCCTTTCGAAACCCTTGTATCTCTTGGGTACAGCTGCAGTTTGGTTCAGGCTGTTAGCGTTTTCGGTAGGTAATTTGGTCCTTCATTGCAGGCTCATTTCTTGTTAGATCTGTAAGCAAGCCGCTCAGTCTGGGTGTTGACCGCTGTACGCTCATGACTTAGAACCACACACATCATACTTCGATGTCACGAACTTGGGCACACTTTGGATGCGTTTGCACTGATCCGAAGGCAAGTGAGAAAGATAATAATAAATATCTGTGCTACTTACCCGAACTGTTGAGGAGGACCGCTAATTGATGTAACTTGTCAAGTGGTTAACGAAACGTCACAACAAACATTGGATTCCCAGTTGCAAATTTATCTTTGTCACTGTTCATTTATGTTCAGTTTAGAAAAGTATGTTATTACAATTTTATTGGTGAACCAAATGCACCTCTGCTCTGTGTGACTGATTCCAAAGTACGTTAATCTAAGCTAGAGTCAAAAAATAGAATAGAATTTCAATAAAGATTACAAGAATACTTCTTGAAAGTCATTTAAGTTTTATCACACAAAATAAGTGTCTCTTATTTAGAGTTTTTTTAGAAATACTGGAGAATAAACATATCTAAGACAAACCTTACAATAACAGATATAACTAATCTGCTGAAATTTCTGTAACGTGAGATTACCACATAGGTTGTATGTTGCAGAATAACTTACATTTTGCAGTTCTTGTTGATATATATATATAAGTTATATGTATGTTCAAATTTAATTGAGAATAATAAATTGCTTTGAAAAGTTTTAGATAGTAAAAAATAAGGCCATGTTTGTGTTGGACCTCATGCTATCATATCAAATTTAGTTCATAAGTGTGTCGGTACACTAAAGAGTCAAAAATAAAATTAAAAATTAAGAAAATTAAAAACCCAACTACAAAAAGACAATTTAAAAGTAATGCACTAAAAAGACAGAAACAAGATTCAGAATAGAAAACAAAATTAAAATAAACTATAAACAAAGTAAACTCTACTTAGCTTTAATAGACTATATTGCTAGAAGCTATACAGTCACAGCCACAGCTATAGCTGAAAGGCTAATTTAAATTAAAATTTTATTTATTTTCTCACCACAAAACCACAAAAATATATTAACGCTAAAAATTAATAGCTATTAAACAAGAATGGTTGTGGATCACTGGTGTCTGAAGTAGGTAATTAAAACCTGAGTTATAGGTCACCAGGCCTCCATTTTAGTTACCAATAATCACTAAGCTTTTAAGGTAAAAAATTATAAATATAGATGTGGGTGTGAGAATTTATGAGAGTGACATGTCCCCTCGTAAGTGTAGAGAACCAGATATAATTTTTACTGAATACGAAGCATTTCACATTACTCCTACGGGATGGCAACACATCTACATGTTTTTGATTCATGCAATATGTGTGCCACTTATTGTCAATCTTCTAAAGAGAAAGTTTTGTGGCAACATTCAATTAAGCATGTTATATGTTATATGAAAAATAACAAGTTTTCTTTGGCTGCATTGAAACATAAAGCTAGATAGAAAGCATAGTCACATGATGCAAACTATAAAATTCAATTATAATAGAATAAAACCATAACCTATATTCATTACTGTCAGGAATGTATGTTTGGATTTTTTCGATCACAGGTGTGTGCAGTTATTAAGCATATTATTGTAGCATACAGTCACAATCACAGTAGGGTTGCACAAAACTTGTGATATATAAATATTTCTATGATTTATAATATAATTATGAGTTGTAGGTAGCTCAGGCTTAGAACCCTGATTTTTGCTGTATTCCTTGGGGTAGGCCATGGAGGAGGATCAGCACTGGACTTTTATAGGGCTCTAATGATGATAATTGTCATATAACTATTAACCTCTCAGTTAGAATACGATAAGGCGTGTGCTCTGCATATATTTTATTTATTTATTTTTATTTAATCTTGTTTATTGACACCTTAATAACAAGGGTAACAAAGGGCGGACTTAATGCCTAACGGCATTCTCTGCCAGTTAACCCGCGGAGCGATGAGATTTAGTAGCAGGTGCAAATATACATACTAATATATACATATAATACACAAAAACTTTATATTTGTAAATATATGAATAAAATATGTATCATACGTAGATATATTGAAATTGCAAATAATAAAACATCTAAATGTGTCAAAATATGTCATCATGTCATTTCACGCAGCTGACACAGAAATTATATTTGTTTTGCAGAAGAGGGCCATAAGAGCAATTTATGATTTAAAGCCTAAAGAGTCGCTGCGACAAAAATTTAAGGAAATTAATATATTAACTTTGGCCTCTCAATACATTTATGAAAATTTAATGTACGTACACAAAAATAAAAGTAGTTTTATAAAAATAAGTGATATTCATTCTGTAAATACTAGGAACAGACACAAGCTAGTAGTACCAGTTACTCGACTCCATCGAGTCAGTAATTCATTCTTGGGGCGATGTATACGCTTTTACAACAAAATTCCAGAAAATATACAAAGTTTGGCCTGTTCAAAGTTCAAAAACTTTATTAAACTAAGTTTGTATAAAAAGGGTTATTATAATATTAAGGAATTTATGGATGATAATAACCCCTGGAAATGAGGTGATCGCTACCAAGCTATTTCTAATTTGTTGTGTTGTTAATTTGTGTAACATCATGATTGTAAGCTGTTATTTAAAAAAAAAAGTCCCGCTGGGTTTCTTGCTGGTTCTTCCCAGGACAGAGGTTTTTTCCGAACCAGTGGTAATCAAACAAAAGAATGACTTTCAATAAGTATTATTTATAATCTATATTGAATAAAAAAGTTTCTGTTTCTGTTTCATCATTATTAACATCCTTTATCACTGTGTTTCAAAAAAAAGGCATGTACCAACTTTTTAAAACAATACTTACTTGGCACTCTTCTTATGTTTTTGGGCAAGGAGTTCCAGAGTAGTGTTGCCTAAATAGTAAAGGAATTGTTGGTGAATCCAGTGAAATGAGATGGAATACTGATCTTATGATTAGATGAGGAGCGAAGAACCTTATCATGAGTTGAAAAGAGATATTGTAATTTGTCCTTTAGATATGTTGGAGAAGTTGGATTATTCAAAATTGAGAAAAGAACAAGCAAAATTCTAGAGTTTCGTCTTTGTCGGATAGTGAGCCATTTCAGGCGTTCACGATAATGAGAGATGTGATCAAATTTTTGGAGACCAAATATATATCTAATACAGTTATTGAGAAGACGCTTTAGCTTGTTAAGAAGATTTTGGTTCACATCTGGGTAGCACACATCTGCATTATGACATTTAAAGATGGTTTAGAATTTCTCCAAACGATCTAAAACTAATAGTAGGATATGCTTGACAGTTACATGATATCACAAATATATTTACGAAAGATGTCCTATCTG